TCAATGCCCACACTGCCCACCAGCAGTCCTAGGAACTATCTCATATGTGTGCTTCCACTTTTTACTAGATCTGTCTCTCACACAACCCCCGCGCCACACACACACACATGCTCTCAATGGAATATATTATGCACACCTTAATACACCTGGCTTTTCTTACTCCATACTTCATGAAAATCTGTCCAAGCCAACTGTGTGGCTCTAAATTATTCTTTTTAACAGCTGTAAATCACCCCACGATTCAGATATAATATGGACCTAATATGGATATTTTTCCCTAGACTTTCATTTACCAACTATACCATAACAAACATTCTTGTGCTGTGCTATTGTTTCTTTGGGACAGATTCCTAAAAGTGGGGTGTGTGGAGCAAAGAATGGTGCGATTCCTTTTTCTCCCTCCTTTTTAAGCAAGAGTGCTGCTAGATTGTTTCTAACTTGCAAGTGACCTGCAGACTCGCTTTCCCTCCAGGGACCTCTGTTTTTTCACTCCTGAAGCTGGCCCGTGGGACTCGAGGTGACCTTGACTGTCCTTTGTAGCTTCTTCCAAACGTCTCTGCCTCTGCGCCTGCACCCACTGCCCCGTGTTTTACTGCAGTGAAGGGAGAGTCATCACTACTGCTGAGTCAGGAACACGAGTCCTGCCTGTCTCAGTCTCTGGGTTTTGGATATATATATATATAGCACACAGACTAGTTACTGAGCTGAACTGCTGATTTCCAAGTTGAACTCTCCTGAAATGCTATAGTGAGGGAAGCTTGCCATGATCAGTTCCTGTCTCCCTGACACCAGAGTCCAGATGAGAACTGGACGATGCAGCTGATTGATTACAAAGCTCTGAGCTTCGGTTGTCCATGTTGAGATTTACCTTGATCTAAAGAAAAAGAGAACACACTCATAGCAGCCTCTGGGTTTGAGCATTTTTCCAAGATGCTCCCAATTTTCTTTGAATGAAAACACACACCTGATTATTGCATGGCCAAACCACTGAAGGAGGAGGGAAATGTTGCACAGTGGCTGTGTACTTTCTAAGGAGGCGTTCTGGTCTGTGTATGTCTCCCCATACTACAGCTTCTGGACCAGAGAGAAGAGCTGATTGATTTGCTACATCTGAGGGGCTTCCAGCAGATTATTCTCCCTAAGTGATAACCATGGCTTACGGAAAGCGTACCAGGCATCCAGCCTGAGTCTAGGCACTTTATGGGCATACTTCCATTTAATCCTCAAACGACCCTTGAGATAGGTTAATATTCTTATTATCCTCATTTTACAGATTCAGAATTTCCCCCAAGGTCACAGAGCTAGGAGGTGGTGTAGTCTGCAGAACCCACTTCCTCAGTAGAAAACGCTGCAGTGGAGCCGGGCAGTGGTAGGCAAGTGGGACAAAAATAGCGCATGGCTTCTTGGCAGTGTCGCCTGAGACGCACACTGAGCCCTTGCGTCCGTCAGCGGTGGAGGGTTTAGGTGTTTACGGCGCCCCTACCCAAACCGTCTGAGCACCGACGCAGGTGCGCCCACTCCATCTGCTGTGGGGGGTGGCGAGCGCTGGACACAGGCCTGGGCCCAAGTCCTGGCTCTGCCAGCTGACCGTAGGCAAGCGTCTTCGCCTGTCCACCTGGCCTGGCAGGTCTTTCTCCCCTGCTGCCCTGAGGAGGGGAGGAGGCAAGCGCCAGCTAGCACCCCAGCAGGCGTTGGTGAAACGCGTTTGCTTCTCCCCCGCGTCTCGGTCCTTAGTGCGAAGGTCGTCAGGCCCGCTCCTGCTCGCAGGTCTCGGTAACCCGTCTCCTCTCCAGTCTCCGCGCAGGCTCCGGCACCTGGGCCGGCTTGTTTTTCAGGAAACTACCCCCTCCCCCTCCCATACTGCGGGGTAGACGTGGGTTTTCACATATAGCTATTTATTTGCTTATTTGCAAAGGGGAGGAGGTAAAAAATGTTCGAGGGCAAAATCAATTACTATTTTTCATCGTTGACAAAGTAATTAAGGCCCCAGTGACTGGCTAATTCCGACTGAATGGCTGCGCCGTGATGGATGCGGATTTACGGCCTTCTCGGCGGCGCGATTATCACTCCAAACAGGAGGCGGCGGAGGGCAGGGGCGGGAGTCCGCACCGGGAGGACTCGCGCCTTTTATTCTAGTGCTTTTCTTTAATACCGAGACTCTATCCTTGGCACTGCCGAGCACGGACACACAGCTCCACACGTCCGACGAGCGGCCCCTGGCCCCCTGCCCCCGCACGCTCCCCTCCCCGCCGCCCTCTCCCCTGCCCTGCCTCCGCCTGGAGCCGGTCCCTCTGCCCCCACACTGGAGTCTGAGAGACCGTTCTAGGCCTGCTGGCTCTAGACCCTCCTCCCTCCACTCTCCACGCGGCCCCTCCTTTCTAGAATCTTGCGGCTGCAAGTCCGGAGAGGTAGGGCGCCAAAGTTGCGCCTCTGCTGAAGCCCGCCCCCCACACCGCAGGCGGCAGCAGTTCTTCTGCGTCAGCCCCCTCTGACCCGCCTGGCGCTGGGTGGGCCCCTCGCCGGAGCTCCGGTGCGCGCCAGGCTGGGGGGGCCTGCGGGCTCAACGTCAGGCCAGGGGACGGGGCGGGCACTGGCGTCACTCTCCCCAGAGCCGCACCCGTGGGCTGTTCTCCCCGCCCCAGCGCCAGCCGGGACGTCTTCGCGCCCCAGACATCGACGCGCAGGGTGAACCATCGTTCTCACCCCGCACTTTGCAGGAGTGGCTCAAATGCATATTGAGGGAACTGGCCAGAGCCTTTGGTAGTCGTGACTTTCCCCGGTGAAAGTTGGCCCAGGGCCCGTGGGGGGAGGCCTCCACAGACCCAGGGGTGCGCCTTGTGGCTTGGAAGCCGGGGGCTGCTGGGCAGCCCCTTAAAGTTCTCACCTCCTGGTTTGGCTCCGTGGAAACTGGGGTCTGTTTTGAATGCAGCTTCGGACAGCCCCCACCACCACTAGGTTTTCCCCGAGGCTCTCAGAGTCCCAGGTGTTTCCCAGCGCCCACCAAAAGCAAAGCACGCACCTCGGGGCTTGTGTCCCGCCTGTTCTCCTGACCCTCCTGCAGCCAGAGCCCACCACACGCTCACCCCTTTCTCCCTCACGAGCCTGGTTTCCTTCTGAGCGGGGCCTCCAGGGGGAATGAGGTGCCCCCTCCCCGCCTGGCCCGGCCCTGTGGGAGGGGTTGGGAGATCTTCCAGGTTCGAAGGAGAATTTATGAGCCTCAGTTTCCCCTGCTTTACAACTGGGAGTTTCTCAGAGGTTGTTGTCAATGCTAAATGTGATAATTCATAAAAAACCGTTGCACAAGAATTTAGCCGAGAGCTTAGTAAACGTTAAATCAAAACTACAGTTAAACGCGACCCGAAGCGCTCAGGGAAGGTCTCTTTAGGGAACCGATCCTCCTTCAGTAACAGTGCGGACCTCGGGTGCCCACTCCTCTCCCCTCGGAGGGGCCTGGCGGGCGAGACCGGGGAATCCAAGCGCTCGGGAGCAACTCGAAGGCGGCAGGAGGGGCCTTCTCTCTGCCCCAGGCTCTCCCCGCAATCTACGGCTGCAGCTTCTGCCTGCGGGCCGGAGAGGCGGTGGAGACGGCCCAGCGGCGGGCGGCCCTGAGGCGGTGGTGGGTCGGGCTGCGGGCAGAAGGGAAGCGACAAAGTGCTTCCCCTAGCGCCCCACTCCCGAGGCCAGGGTTTACCCCAACCAGGCCCCCTAGGAAGAGGGAAGAGGAACTGAGTACCTCCGCATCCCCATTCTAATCTCCAAACGACACCTCTTTATAAAGGTGTTTTTTCCCTTTGTCTTGAATATAGCCATTGCTTTGTACCGAAAGTAGAGACCATCTTTCTATCGCCACCGACGCCCCCCACCCCGCGGAAGCACCGCAGCGCTTCCTCCCGGGCTTCCAGGACGGCCAGCCCTGCCTCCGCACCCTGGGGGTCTCGGTCTGGAGGGTCTCTAAGACCCCGCCTTCCAAGTCAGGCCTGGCTGCGGTGGGTTTTTATTGAGGGGGCTAAGAAGAAAGCAAATGAGTCTCCTCTGACTTTGAACGTGACCTAACAACCAGATCGGCGTAGTAGATAATTTCCTTTTGAGTTCTCTAAAACGTTTTCAGAGCAGCTTAACAAATACCATGAGGACATTCAAAATTTTATCCAGGAATTTCTCTTGTGGTAATAGAGATAAAATAGGAATGAAAATGCTAGACCTGTTTTTTTGTTTTGTTTTTGTTTTTGTTTTTAAGCGAAAACCCAGGACCCCTGAAACACGGGCTGTCTGGGAGGGCCGGGCTGTGAGGATCTGAAGTCCGCATACACGCAGCCTGGGAAAAGCGGCACCTGTGCGCAGCGGCCATTGCAGAGCCGCGGTGGGACGTGCGGGCAGACCCTGGGTCCCCTTCGGGGTGACGCTGTGGAGTCTGCTGCCTGCGGATTTGGAGAGGCGGCTCCGGGATCTAGTGGGAGAGAAAGACGGAAACGTGAAGGTGATTTAACTCCTTCCCCTGCGCCCACCGCGGCAGCCCAATCCGCTGTTCGGCTCGCCTTGGGTGCAGTGGGACGTGTCCCTCCCATGTCTCCCTTAATTAGGGAGAGGCAAACTTCTGTCATCTCCTCCCACCGCTTCGGTTTAGTAATCAGACCCACATGAGTCACGCCGGACACGCAGCCCCCTCCCTCCCGAGTGACAACGGGCGAGCGTACTCTCGGCTGTTGTCCCTTTAAAACTCGAATCCATGGGGGTAATGATTTATCAAACTTGTATTATCAAGAAAATGTCAAACGAAGGGCACCTTGCTTTGCACTGACGCAAACCTGGCCTTTCCCAAGGAGATATAGAAAGCGCCTCTCTTGCTGGAGCCAAAACCGGTCTTGGCAATCGCTGGTTTCACTCTCTACCCGTTCTGCCCGTGTCAGACATGGTGAGTGTTCGCTTTTGTTCTTTTAAGAGAGGGGGCTCGGGGTCAGGAAGGGCAGATTCGTTTTGGGTACTTCTTTTTGAAATGGTCTATGCATTTTGGAGGAAGGAGGGGGGACAGTTTTCACAGTCGCCGTGGTATTTGCACTTATGAACACCCCCTGAGATTGGAAAGAGGTTTCCGAGGCTGGGCAGCTGAGAAGTTGGCAGAGTCGCCTACCGGCGGGGTTCTGGGCACTGTCCTTGGTGCTGAAATCAGGTGCCAATGCCGAGGCTCGTCGCTCTGGGTCCTAGAAGCTATTGAGATAAGAATGCTGGCTGGAGTCAAGGTACTTAGTGTTGGTGCAGATTAAGGAGTTCTGACATGTGCACTTGTGAGAGAGAAGGCTCAGTGAAAAATGTGCAGTTGAGGCGAAAATAAGATTTTTCTCACAGTAAAATAGTAATTATTGGTGCTAACATTTAGGAATCCTTGACAGATAACAGCAGGGGTTAGAAAGCAGAGGGGAAAACCACCGCTGGCAATTCTTTAAATTTGAATCTCAAATGGGAGAAAGCAAATGAAAATTAGCTGTGAGTTTTAGGTCCCCAAGCAAGTGTAGGGCCATGAAGGACATTAGTCGTCTGAGAATAGTTATTCTGGGCTGGTTGGGGGGTGGGTGGGACTTTGCTCGTTCTTTCACATGTCTGGGAATCTGGGAGTGAATGTAGGTTGTATAAGTTAACAAACCTGGTTACTACCTGACACGTCAAGTCTGCTTTATTATTGTTGGTGGGCTGTCGTTGTCATTTTGGCTGAGATTCTTATCCCCGCCTTTGCTACCTGGCTGACGGGCGGGAGGGATTTGGGGGCCCTGGGATCACACAACCGACTGGGCCTGAAATGCTCGCAGGTGCCAGGGCATCCGCTTTGTGGCCACAGCTTGTCTGTCGCTTCTGGGAAGAAAAAAAAAAGCAATGTGCATTGTTGAATGACAAAGGAAATGGGGCGGAAAATTAAAGAATCTTTCTACAGTGGTGATGGGGACACGGGTACCCTACAGTCGTGATGTGAAATCCAAAGAGGGCGGGGAGCTCGTGGCCGTGGGGCTATTTCTACCCTCCCCTTTACCACTAAAAAAAAAAAACAACAACCCAAAAACCCAACATTTCTGCCCGTTGTCTTAGTTTGTCTCCATCAGAGTGGAGAATATTAGCTTCCTTATGTCATGTGGTTATTGACCAGACTGGCACATTGAAAAATACTGATGCAGTTTTTATTGGAAAAGGAAAAAAATTCCAGATTTCAATTTGTCCCCTAGATATTGTGTCTGGACCCGAGTTGTGAAGGCTTCTATACGTAGGTACAGGTAATTTCAAAGCTGCCTTGATTTTTTTTTTCGCACGAATTTCACGTTGTATTTGCAGGATTGCGGTGCTCCCAAGGAAATGAATAAACAGCCAGCCAACAGCCTGGAGGCAGCCGTGGCGCCCGGCCACCACGATGGCTCGTGCGCGCCCAGGACGAGCCCGGAGCAGGAGCTCCCTGCGGCCTCCGCCGCGCTGCAGCCACACGTGCCCAGGTCCGCTTCCACCGGCGCCCAAACTTTCCAGTCCTCTGACGCGCGAGTCTGTGAGGCCGAGCGCCAGGGATTGGGGGCTTGCAAACTCAGTAGCCCGCGGCCGCCAACGGCCTCGGCAGCTCTGCGGGATTTGAATGAGACTCGTGGCTCTCAGGCTGCCCTTCCCGGGGGCGCCGGGCCCCGCAACGCGCTGCATTGTAAGATCCCGGCCCTGCGCGGCCCGGAGGAGGATGCGAACGTGAGTGTGGGCAAGGGCACCCTGGAACGGAACAATACCCAGGCCGTGGGCTGGGTGAATATGAGCCAGAGCGCCGTGGTGCTGGGCACGGATGGAATCACGTCTGTGCTACCTGGCAGCGTGGCCACCGCTGCCGCCCAGGTAAGCAGGTTGCGCTGGGCCCGCGCCGCCTCCTGCTCCACAGGCGTGTGAGGTGAGCAGGCCGTGGCGGGTGCACGTGTGCTGATGGGGAGACTGGTTGGCAATGCCAGGTAATGGATGCGGGAGGCAGCTTTGGGGCTTCGGAAGCTCGCACTGCGCTGGGGTCTCCATTTCGGGGCAGGAGCGCTGTAGTGACCCTGCCAGAGGGATCGCGACCTCAGGAGCTACCACTACCTAGCCCTTCCCAGCCTCAGTGGTAGCGGAAATCCCGGTGCAGACTGATCAAGCAGTTGAGGCAGATAGAGTCCTACCCCTTTATGCAGACACGACTGCCCCTCTTGCCAGCCACTGGATTTTTAATTTTTCTTAACTAAAAATGAAGAAATATACAGAGGAAACCCCTGATGAAATAGTAGTTTTCAGTTCTATAGCTTTAAATGGTGACTGTGAGCTACCATTTACCTCGTGAGAACTCATTTGGTGAGAGGTGGGTTCGCATGAGCCTGCTCCTGAAGCTCTGGCTTCAGGGCCCCTCCAAAGCCTAATTTTGTCATCTCAGTTCTGGACTTCTTTTTTTCTCCTTCAAGAGGACCTCACTCAACTGTATGGGCTTCAGGCTCCACAAACGTGGAACCACCCCTGCATTTGATCCTTTATGCTCAACCAGAGACATGAAAAACCCACAGAGCCAATCCCAATCCTGGGTTAGGGATAAGCAACGATTACGGGTGGCCCCTCTCCCATCCAGGCTTCTGTCTTCTTCCAGGGTCCTCCAGTCTCCCTCTCTCTCCTCTGATCTCTTCTTTCCTCTGTCCTGTTTCACCTACTTCAGCCCCTCCCTTCCTATTGCCTGCCTTTCCTCTTCTCCTTCCTGGGCTCAAGGGTTAGGCATATACGCAGTGGTGGGTGCCTAAACCAGAACATCCACCTGTACAGAGATTTCAGGTTTATACGGCCCTTCTGTTTGTAGTCACTCTAGTGACACACACACACACACACACACACACACACACACACACAAAGGCCTATGCAGTAGGAGCTCAGCTGTTAGAACAACTAGAAATGAACATACACCTTGGTTTTCCCACTCGCCCTTGTTATGGGGGTTCACTTCTGGAGTGTTTGTCTGTGTCTATTAGCTGCCTCTGACAGCAAGTGCCCAATGGTGGGACCCCAGGTGGAGGCAGTTTTGTTTCACATGTCGTGTTTAACCTCCGCACTGCACTGCGGCAAAAGCAGCTGGAACTCCCACCCTTCTAGCTCTGGAAGAACTGGAGGGTGGGGGTGGGGCTGGAGGTAGTGTGTGTGGGGAGGAGTGCAGGAGGATGCTGAAGATGTTCAGTAGAGATCAAGCCCTTTCTTTGGCTATTTTCAGCTCTGCCCATCTTTCTGTTGTTGCCTTTCTGACACGTACCTCGGCCCTCCTTCTTTCTCCCCAAGACTTCCTCTCCTGACAGCTGCTTTTCTCTCCGCCACGGGCTGTGGAACAGTGTGCAACCAACCAGGTTGCTAGAATGGGGGGTTGAAGGTGACTGCAGAGCTGAAAGCTGTGCAGTGACTTGGGTCCCTAGAGGTTCTGTGGGTCCTTAGAAGCTCTGTGGGATGGGTGGTGTCCTGAGCATTTTCATAGTTTTATTTGATGTGGCTCTACACCCAGCCTTTTCTGGTTAGTATTGAGGCATTCTAGAACCATATTGCCCCAAGAGAGCATCTTAGGGCAAGCTTGCAGAGGTGAACCCCAAAGGGCCCTACACTGCTGGAGCTGGAATGTGCCTCAGGGGACAGTTATTCTAAGCCTCTCATTTTACAGAGGGGGATACAGAGGCTCTGAGAGAGCAAGTGGTTTGTGGTGATTATCCAGCTGGTTAATAGTAAAATTTAAAGCAGAATTCAAGGTAGTAGCTGCCATGTCTCTTACCATGTCTACCTTCTCTATTATCCCTCTTGTTCCACCCTCACACCTCCCTCCTGCCCATCTCCCTTGCCCCAGTGCTGAAAGTGCCCCTCCCCCAGGCGAGGCAGGGGCTCTGGCTGGCTTCAGGCATTGTGGCTCTCTTTCTGGCCTTAGCACACAGATTCCAGAGGGAGAAAATGCTGAGGAAGGGGTGCGTTGAGGGGCTTGGGGAGGGAGGGGTTGGTTAGGGACCTGCTTGCTGTGATCTCTAGGCATGATATTGGGGGCCTGCTTGCCTAATGAACTCTTGGTTGGGTTTGGGGATCAAGGGACCTGCTTGCAACTAACTGACTGGTTCAAGGGGGGAAGCTGCTTGCTGGTGTGCCCTGACTGCAGAATTTAGGCAAGAGGGGTGCAGGGGTCTGTTTAAGATGGACCTTGGATCAGAGTTGAGAGCCTGCTTGCTGAAAGACTCTCAGTGCAGAGTGGAGGGGTGAGGGTCCTGCTTGTAGATGCATTCTCTCTTTGGAACTGGGGTTCTGCCTGCGGATGCATCCTCGGTTGAAAAATGGGGGCCTGCTTGCTGGGAAGGACCCTCAGCAGGGAGGAGGGTTGGAATGGGGCCTGCTTGCTGACCAACTGGGGCTGTTATCCCACAATGTGCTTTTCCGCCCCCAGGAGGACGAGCAAGGGGATGAGAATAAGGCCCGAGGGAACTGGTCCAGCAAACTGGACTTCATCCTGTCCATGGTGGGATATGCGGTGGGGCTGGGCAATGTCTGGAGGTTTCCCTACCTGGCCTTCCAGAACGGGGGAGGTATGGCTTTTCCAGTCTTTCCGCCTGTGGTGCTGCAGGGTGGGCCCTTGGAGGTTGGGGGGAGGGACCCAGAGCCTCTAGATGGGCCTGGAGGAGCGATTCAGGACAGCCTCCTCCCACTCCAACCCCATCCCCTGTGGGCACCAGTGCTAAGCCAGAGGGCAGGAGCTGCTGCAACTGTTTGGCACTAGATCCAGAAGGCTTTTACCTGGAGATGAAGTTCAGGGAAGAGGAGGGCCCTCATGATCCCCCCCTGGCTCTATGGGGAGGGGGGCCTTGGTCCTGAGTCATGGGCATCAATGCAAGTCAAATTCTAATCTGACAAGTATTCAGGGAGCAGTGTACTTCATGCACCTAAGTGACTTTGCAGCCAGTAGTTTGTGCGGTCCTGGACACCGAATTAAATATGTTTTAAGATTATAACTTGTAAATCCCAGCCTACACAGAAGACCTGGGAATGGGCACTCTGGGTGGTGCTGAATGCTAGCTGCAGGGCAACCAGGAGGTGTGAGCAGAGAGGGGCTGGGGGCTGTGCTCTCAAAAGCCTCTCAGAAGTGTCCCCACACAAGTGTCCTCTTGGGCGTGAGCAGGGTATATTTTGACTAGCAAAATCATTTAGCAAAAATGGGTTTTGTTTCATTTGCCTTAATTGGGGGGAAGAAATGCTTTTTGAAGGAAAACCATTTCTGAAATGGTGAGGGACACCAGGTAGCAAGCACTAGCTGCCAGGCCTCTAGGGTCTATTGCACTGCTTCTGTGCCCATGAAGGATGAACTTGGCGCAACCAAGTCCTCTTTGCTTCCCCTCTGGACGTTGAGGTGCTTCAGGGTCAGCAGCTGCCCCTGTGTTGGTTGACAAGTCGCCCTCTGGGAATAGGAATCTTTGCCTAGAACCCCTACCACAGCTGTTCAACTGGACCAAAGAGATCAGAAATATGCCCTGTACCCCATCAGGACAGGCAGCTAAAGTTTTGTCCTGGGTTTGTTTGTTTGTTTGTTTGTCTCTTGGGTGGGCTCCAGGGAGAATGTGGTGCAGAGGGAGGATGGAAAAGTGCCGCACCACAGGACAATTGAAAGAGGAAAAAATGTTAGTGTCCCTTCCTCCCACTTGCAAATTAGGACAAGCTGACAAGCATTTATGAGGATCCCAGAGCACTTGCAATCAGGGTGCCCTGGAAACCGAAGGACGTGCACTGGCCCCCCGAATCTAGGTGCCACAGCTGGGTTTCTGCCTGGTTTTCCACAGGGGGTCCCTGGACCCAGATGCAGGAAGTGGGTGGAAGGCGCTATAATAAAGCTTTCAGTGGCGGGAACCGGATGGGTACACAGGATCAGGTGGGGAGGGAGCCCCAGTCAAGTGATTTTGGCGAGTGACAGTGCTGGTGCTTTGCTAGCCCCGGATCTGCAAAGTGCGGGGCAGCATATGCTCCCCGTGGTTCCAGGATCTCCGGGCCCAGCCAGGCCCTGGGAGGGAGAGTCTGACCCTTCCACACTGAGGCCCCTGCTGTCCCCCAAGCCCTCAGTGCTCAGTGCTCTTCCTTTCCAGGAGCAGAAGAGACAGACTGCGCAAACCACATCTTTCTCAAAAACCCTGTCAGGAGAGGACAAAGAAGGCCCCCTAGTGTCTCCTCAGCAGCCCAGGGCTGCAGCCTGGCCTTCCTGGCCTGGAGAGCCTCCAGGAACCCCCTCTGACAGGAAGGTCTTTCCTCCTGGCAGGAAGCTGGGGAAGGCCAGCTTTCCTCCTGTTGGGCACAGTGTCCTGGGCTCTGTCATCTCTGGCCCTGGAACCGGCCTGACCCCTGCAAGAGCACTTCCTGGTCCGAACCTTTTTAAAGGTTATGGCTATTCCCCAAGCCTCCAAAACCACCTCATGGAATTCTTGAAGGGAAAGAAGCCAGTAGTTGAGATAAGATACCCGCATAAATATTGTCAAGTGCTCAGTGCCTGGGAAAGTCACCCTGGGAGGAGAGACGAGGGAGACTTCTTGGAGGAGGAAGCATTTGAGTTGACCGTGAAGGATGGAAGGGACTTCTTGGGTGGAGAGGGACATTGAGAAGTGTGTGATGGCTGGGTGGTGGGGGAGGAGTGGGTACCTGGCCACCCGCCTGTCGGAGCAGGCCCAGCCCCAGCTGGCAGAAGGTGTGCAGGTAAACGCAGGTTATATGAAGAAGGGGGCCCCCCAAGTCTAGCTTGGCAGATGGTAAGTCCTTGGAGGGTGGGGGTTCCGATGAGATGATGAAATTTCACCAAATCTGACTCCAGCGATGAGTCAAAGGCGTGGATTTGTGGAATACTAGAAGGGCTTAATTTGGGGACATTAAAGTACTGCCATGAGAAACAGAAAAGACTCAGACCCAACCAGTGCACACAGCCCTAGTGGCTCACCCAGTGGGGAACTGAAAAAAGGAGAGTGTCTGCAGGGGCCCTTGTATGTTTTCAGAGAAGGGCTCTCAAATGTCTCTGGGTGCCTGCGGTTGAGCTGGACCATCAGAAGCTCCCTGGCAAAGGGGAGGGAGCCCACTCCCCCCACAGAGGGTGCCAGTGGGCCCAAGTCCGGCCTTGGCCTCCCAGGGCTCTCACTTCCCACTCTCTCTTTCCAAGGTGCTTTCCTCATCCCCTACCTGATGATGCTGGCTCTGGCTGGGTTGCCCATCTTCTTCCTAGAGGTGTCACTGGGCCAGTTCGCCAGCCAGGGGCCAGTGTCTGTGTGGAAGGCCATCCCAGCCCTGCAAGGTGAGTCCGTCCTGTGCCTCAGCCTCTTCAGCCCTACTGTGCTCTCTCTGGCACCAAGCAGCCCCAGGGAGGGGGCCTGGCTTTTGTGATCAGAAGAACTCACTCCTTCCTTCTTTACTTGATCAACTCCACCTCTGGGGCCCTCTGAAGAATGACCCAAGACCACTTCCGGCATTGTTTCATTCCTGGCGGAAGGCCTCGATGTCCTTGGTAATCACAGAGGCCACTCCCCCAATGGTGTGTCCATCTGGCGAAGAGCGCCAGGACCTGGGTCCCCACTTGACCGACTGTAAGAGTTCCATGGGACCGGGCATGAGATGAACCCCCAAAACATTGTTTCCACAGGCTGCGGCATCGCGATGCTGATCATCTCCGTCCTAATAGCCATATACTACAATGTGATTATTTGCTACACACTTTTCTACCTGTTTGCCTCCTTTGTGTCTGTGCTGCCCTGGGGCTCCTGCAACAACCCTTGGAACACGCCAGAATGCAAAGATAAAACCAAACTTTTATTAGGTAAGTTTGGATCTACCTACCTGATGGAAGTACTCATTCGTTCATTCACGCCATAAAGATGAATTGAGCCCATATCATGTCTGCCAGGCCCTATGCTAGGGGCTGGGGCTACAGAGATTCTTTAAAAAAATACTGAATATACTTAATTCTAATATTGAAGGAGTTCATGGCCCAGAAAATGCTAATACAATTTTTGTTTGTGCAGGAATAGCTGGAGTGGTTGTTAAGAGTACAGATGTGCAGGCCCACCAGAGAGTCTGATTTATTAGATTCAGGGGCAGAGGCAGAAAATTAGCATTTCGGCAAGGTCCCCAGGTGACTCCGGTGTGCATGGTGCAGACCAGAAAAGCAATGCAGTCCTGGAGTCCAGGAGAGAGATGCCAGTGGTCCTGGGGCCACCCCTCACAAAATGCCGCTCAGCGCATGAGGGAGACGTGGGAACAGACACTTCAGCTAAAGACCTCGATGGAAATGTGCATCGAGTAAGAGTAGAATAGTGGACTCTGCCGGCCTGGGGAGACTGGGAGTGTCCTGGGGCTGTTTCAGACCTGAAATCCACTGTGACTTGAGGATGGGGGGAAGCTGTCAGCTTCTTGGGTCAGGAGCAAGAGAGCGAGTGTGAGGAGGCACAGGCAGACTTGCCAGCAAGGCTCCCTGGTCTGTAAACCATCTCAGCCCCTGGGTGTGCAGGGGTCTGTGTCAGGTAACCTCTCTGCTGAGCCTGAGATTTCCTCGTCTGAAAACAGAAACCATAGCAATATGCTTCATCCTACTGACCTCATGGGATTGCTAGGAGGAGAAAAGAAATGAGAGGATATGAAAACAGCTGGAAAAGTATAAAACTCTACAAGCAGAAGGTCCCAATAATATCAGTCACCTTCGAAGGCTCTGGTCACTTTATCGGGCTCTAGAAATAAGCGTCTTCTCTCCCCCCTCCCGCCCCCCCCCCCACCGCCATGAGCTGTCATTTCCCTTAACCTGCATCTGAGGTCAGAATCCTGGGCTCTCTATGTGACTGGCTCTTTTTAGTGCTGGCCCCCAAGTCAGCCCTTTGGCCCGCACAGAACAGGACACTATTTAACCCTTGGATTGTGCTAAGAGGGAAAGGTGCACCCTTCCCTCCCACAGCCCCAGACAGATGCACCTATCTGAAGATAGTCACTCACACTGGAGAATTTTTACACACATGGTCACATACATACACACTGTGACTGAGCTCCACCTCGAGAGGCTTGGGATACGACTGAAGAAGAGCTCAACCTTGGGACACGTGCCCATTAAAGCCAAACCCTGTGCACCTGGAAGTGCTCAAGAATGGGGGGGGGGTGATGTGCAAGGTTCCCTGGTGTGTGGCTCACTTAGTATGACCAGGAGTAAGTGTCCCTTAGACTCTCTGGGTCTCAGCGTCCTCATCTTTATCATCTCCCTGTGGACATATTCTTTTAGTTAGAGCAGGGGTTTCAACCCAAGCTGCTACACCTTAGAATCACCTGGAGAACTAACGAATGGAACTGTCACTAGTGTCCATGCCAGACCAATCAATTTGAACCACCTGGGCATGGAGCCTGGGAATCTGTACCGTTGAAGCTCCCTGGGTACAGCCAAGGGGAGGGGGCAGTAGCTTTCACTTTGCCCGCATCCCAGAGGTCACCTCTGCCCACGTGCTGTCTGAGAGAAGCCCACGCAGCAGCTGTTCACTGATTCTCAACCCAGAATCAGCTGCCGGAAAGGCCTCTTCGTCATGGTTGCCATGTTAGGGCATAGTGCGTTTTCCAGGCCTCTCATAGTGCCTCACATGTCCTCTGTGAGGGATGGCAGTTCAGAAACACCATTCTCCTCCGCTAACAACACCCACTCATATTTGTGCAGCACCTTAACACAAGAATAACAGCTAGCATCACTTACTACACGCCAAGCTCCCTGTTAAACCCTTTTACTCTTGTTACCGATATTAACATGGACAAGAAGCCAACACATGGCTCTCAATATTATCTCTGCTCTCCAGGTGAAAGGCAACTGGAGCTCAAGCTCACAGAGATAGCTCTGTGGGAGACCTGGGATTCGAACCCGAGTTTGCCTGCCTCCCAAGGCTCTGGTCCTAACTACCATGCTAACTGCTCCCTGGTCTACAAAGTAGCCTCATTAATGATGTCTCTGGTATTCCTATAAGAGCCCTTTGAGTTTCAAGGGGCAGATGACATGGTCGCTGTTTCACAGGTGAGAAAGTGGACGCAAAGGCTCTGAGTGTGGGAGTGCCAGGCTGTACGTCACAAGGTACAACCAGCACTGGGGTATGGGTCTCATGGCCCTGATTCTCTGCTCATCCAGGGATCCTGAAGAGTCCTTGGTCCAGCAGGACCTACCCTGCCAGTCCTGGCAGAGTGACATCAGTGCAGGTGCTCCCTCACTCTTTGTAGCTGAGATTCTGTGGGGTAAAAAGGAAGCTTCTCTGAACAGTAGTTTGACTTAGCAACCCCACTTCTGGGGAGTGACCTTAAGGGGGGAACCAGAGACACGGTGAAGGGCTATATGTGATTGTTCATTTCTACCACATCTCCAATCCTGGGAATCAGTAGAAACACTTAACCACATGACAAAAATCACAGTAAGTACTGAATGATTCCATTGTCATAATAAATCCTAGCACATCCATATGATCAAGTTTTCTATAGTCATTAATAATGAATATTTATAAAATGGGGAAATCCTCACCATATTATGTTAAACATAAAAACAGGATACAGATTTATAGTATACGTTTACTTTTCTTAACAATATGTGCATGGATAGAGAACGTGTAGGAAGATGTTACACAAAATGTGTACAAAATGGCAGATTTGTGGCCATTCTTTCTTTTCGGCATGATCTATCAAGGACATATAAAAAGGAATATTTTATAGTAATATATATATGTTTTTTTTTGTTTTGTTTTGAGCAAGCTGAGCAGGTAGACTGGCCGGGCTGTGGGTGGGGGTGCCCCTGGGTTTATCGAGTTCCCGGTCTGGCTCACAGTGCCCAGGGAACGTCAAAGGCAGAGTGAAGATGTGACACAGCTAAGCTGCTAGTGGATGGCGCAAACCAGAAAATCTAGTGCAAGCTCTGAGCAGGGAGAGACAATGGGCATTTTCACTCTGATGATTCCCTGGGAGGTCTGGACAGACTGGGCAGATCTTATTTCCTTCTTAGTTAGTGCTTTAAATTTTTTCTTTTGTTTGTTAAAAAGTGAGTCTTCCTGTGCAGTCCCCGCCTCCAATCTCTTCTTCCCTGTGTTACCTACACAGGGGCGTGTGCCCTCACTGGGGCCAGGCTCTCCCTCACGGAAGCAGTTTTGGTCCTTTGGGGTCCTGGGTGACTTAGCAAAGGTGGTGGTGATCTGACTTGCAGAGACACCATCGGCTTTCTAGCCCCGCTGCTCTGATGGACATGTCAGGGGTCCAGATAATGGGTGTCCCAGGCTCTTTCCCAATGGCCATTCTGAGAGAGAAAATGCAACAACTCCTTTCCCTAGTGCACTGCTTCACAAATAACCTTCTAAGGGCGCTTTCTCCCTCACAACCCTATAACCTGCCCATGAGATAGCAGGCAGCTAGTTCCAGGAGAGGGGATAGATCACCCGCCATTATGACCTTCAGTCGTAGCATGGAGACGGAGGGCCCCAGGGCCCTCTTTGCACCGCTAGGAACACACGGCCCAGGAGCCCCACCTCACCATCCAGATGACAGATACCCATGCCAGCCCCAGAGAACAGCACCGCCCCCCCCACCGTTCCCCCAGCCCCCCTCCGACCCGGTCCATGGGTAGAAGCTAAGTCTGCCACACATCTCTAAAGTGTATTTTGTAAGAAAGACCTCCTTAGGGGGACTCAACCATCCAGGTATCTGTAATGGAGAACGGCTGGCTAATCCACGCCCTGCCAAGTGAGACCAGCGACTGTTCTGTGAAATTAGGAGCTAGCTGGATCATTTAAAATGGGAACCACATAAATACCATTTCTATTTCTGGAATGGCTTAATTTTCATTAGAACTTTAATTAAATGACTCCTTGTCTCCCTAGCCTTTCATGTGCTTTCATTTATTAATAATTGCCCGAGTAAAGAGAATCCCATTCAGACAGCTTCCAATTTAGAATGATCATTATCGCTGTTCTTTGTTCAGGGTTGCTGGGCCGCGGAGCTCTCTGATGACTCGGCCTCAGGCCGAGCCGAAGGCGCGGAAGCACGCTTCTGCCACCCGGTGGTAGGAAGGGATATTGCAGGAGGCTGGAGGCAGCAAGGAGCCCTGCTGCAGTGCCGCAGGAGCGCTGTGACCTTGTACTACCACCGCAGCAGTGATCCAGAGACACTGTCTAGGGAAGCTGTCTGTGCGCTTCCCAGGGGTGGTTTTGGAAGCAAGCGATTTTGCATTTGCCCGCGTGTTAGCCATCTCTTCGTCTTAGGGGATGGATGTACTTTCAGGCAGGAGAGCAAGAAATGACTAATGTGTTTAGTGACAGAAACGGGATGTGGATGGTGTTTAAGTGTCTTCATTCAGGTGACTGTTGGGGGAAACAGATGCTTCCTCAGGAAATATTTGATACTTACTAGTTCAGAATCCTCGTTAGACCAAAGGAGAAAATAGTGAGTAAGAAGGTGTTTTAAGGATTCTGAAAGTGGTGCTTCTCAACCCCAGGAGATTTTGCAGGAGACACTTGGCAATGTTTGTAGACATTTCTGGTGGTCCCAGCTGGGGACAGATGCCCCTGGCATCTAGAGGGCAGAGGCCAGGGCTGCTGCTAAACACCCTGCAATGCACAGGACAGCCCCCTAAGCAGAGCATCATCCCGACTGAAAGGTCAGGAGCACCGCTGTTGAAAAACTCCAGCCTAAAGAACTCATCAGAGGGAAGGGATTCTTCTAATTGTTGTTTTAATTTTTATGCAATATTATGAGACATTCTGGGCAGGGGTGTGGGAGGCAGAAGGAATTTATGACTGGCAAGTAGGACTGTGGGAGGTGATGTTGAGGACTTAGAGGTGCTCACCCCATGAAGTGATGATTGAGTTTTGGGTAGAGTTTATGGAGTCCAACTGTGTGCTGGGTGTCGCATGGAACTTTTTCACTCATGATCTCACTTTGGTTCTTGCACGGATACAACTATCATCCAAACATGGGGGCTTGGAGGGGTCGAGGAGCTCCTCTAAACCCTCGGCGGCAGTGGAACCCCTGCACCCACAGTCGTGTCCACTTTGCCGTTCCACGGAGGGTGTAAACTGGGAGTCCCTGTGCCCTGTTGGGGCTGCCTGTGCTTTTCTGGTGGTCCACAATACCAAGAGCAACTTGACCTCATTTCCAACCTCTGAAAACGGGTTTTCTGCACTTTTGGCGAGGACACCTGGACAAGCACGGCACTGATGGTTGGAGTGCTCTTGGTTTGCTGGGGGCCAGCTCTCCTTGTTACCCTGCCTTCCGTGCCCTCCCCCTTTGTGTCACCAGCTGGCATCTGAAGGTGTCAAGTTCATGATCTCTGACCCCTACCCCAGGGCAGAATGTTAAGGAGCATGGACCCCAGAGGGAGAGTGTCTGCATCCTGGTTTCTCTATATGACCTTGGCCCAGAGGAGTATCTTATGTGTGACACAGAGACAATGTAACAGCACCACCTCGAAGGGCTGATGGGAGGCTTCAGTTAGCTCACATACGTAAAGCACTCAAAACTGTGCTTGGTGAGCGCCATGTAAGTGTTAGTGTCATTGTCACGGTCACTCTTTGCTCCTCTATGAGATAGTGTCCTGTGGGATTAGTCCTGGGGGACTATCTACTTAAAATAGCTGTCAAGTGATCAGTATTTACAAAGTTGTCAGAGATGCCTTTTAATATGGTCAGAAAGACTTCAGCCTCTTCCTATTTAAAATCATGTAAATAATATGTACCTTTCTGGTTTGATGAGGATTTCACAAGAAAATGATTGTTAGAGTGTCCAGTACACTGCCTGATGCACTGAGACGCATGAGGTCAGCCTCCTCTCCCCCTCCCAGCCTGGGTCAGGCACTCTCTACTGATGTTTTGGACTGGATAATTCCCTGTTGTGGGGTCTGTCCTGTGCATTGCAGGATATCAGGCAGCATCCCTGGCCTTTACCCACCAGATGCCAGTAGCTCCCTGTCTTCCAAATGTGACAACTAAACATGTCTCCAGACATTGCCAAGCGTCCCCAGGGAACACACTCATCCCCAGTTGAGACCCCCGGGTTAGGTCCTGCTGCAGGCTCACAGGCGCACCGCCTGGTTGCTGCCTCCGCTGACCCACGTGGGGGCGTAGAAAACCACGTCACCTGCATCTTAGGGTGTTTCCTATATGTCAGCCCTCCTGCCAGGCGGAGAGTTCAAGGTGATCTCACAAGAGAGCCTGCCGTGGCAGTAGCTCTTCGGGAGGTTTGCTTATGTCGGATTACATTCGTCTCACAAACCTCTTCCTTTCAGTGGCATCCACGGAGCTGGGTTTGAATCCTGATTCTCTTCCTCATTAGCTGTATGATTTCAGGAGAGCCTTGTCCCTCATGTTAAAAACAGAGGTAGAAGGGCCCCCACCTTCGCTGTCCTGAGCGTTACATGAGATAATGTATGCAAGGTATCAAGTGTGGCTCAGTGCCTACCGCAGAGAGAGCACTCTGCGAGTGAGAACCACTGTCACCAGGACAAGTCGCTGCCGTGGGGCTCTGTGCTGAATACAGCACAATTCAGTGCTTCATCTCCACCTAGCCTGGCTCGGTGCAAACTTTCCCCAAGTTACTCTTCGGTATTTGGCAAATCCTTTTGGCTTTTGTTTTTAGATTGCTGCTAGGACACACGTGTATATATTCTGTGTGGATGTCACTGTGTTTCCATTCTGTCCTCCCCTAAACAGATTCCTGTGTCATCAGCGATCATCCCAGAATACAGATCAAGAACTCGACCTTCTGTATGAGCGCCTACCCCAACCTGACACTGGTCAACTTCACCAGCCAGGCCAATAAGACGTTTGTCAGTGGGAGTGAGGAGTATTTCAAGTACGATGGCCTTTTTATTACTTTCTAGGAGAAATCCGGTGAATTAATCAGTACTCCACCTGTAGACTCGAGCTGTGGGTGGCCCCCAGGGTGGGTAGCTTCCCTCTGCACCCTCCCTACCTGTTCACGCGTTAGTGAGGAAGGTGTTTTCCCTGGTTTGGCTCTGAGAGCAGATGGCTGTGCTCTGGGCCTGGAGGTGAGCGTTGGCTGAATGCTGGTGGGGACAGAATTGCTGCTGCTCTCGTTCCTGACATTGATGCCAAAATCATTGCAAAACCTTCCTGCAATGTGATCTAAGCAGATCTTCAGTTGACTAGGTTTGTGTTTTTTTCCTTCTGCATTTGAGAAGGAAACAGAGACAAAAAGTCAGAAACCAAGTCACGGTCAAGGATTGAAAGAACCAAATCATTTTTTAGAAAAACAGTCTCACCTTGGTTTTGTACTTTCTATGTCTGCGTTGCCAGACACTGAGGACTGACACTCAGGGATGCTAGAAAGTCCTCAGCCACCACAGGACGATTTAGTAAAGTTTATGGAGCTTTTTCTTAAAGCAGGTCATTGCAGGCAGAGTTCAACAGCAGGCAAATAATGTTCTCTAGCTAGGCCTTGAGTTGGGGGTGGTTGTAAGCCAATGTGCTTAGGGACTTGGCAGGGACGCGTGCCTGCTTGTCAGGCAAGTGAGCGAAGTACAAGTGCACCAGGTGATAGAGGGGGTGGGGGCTGGGGCACACGGGCGAGGTGTCGGCCCCGCGCCAGGGAGGCTGCCACCGCCTGGCCCCACACCCTTGTCCGGGGGGTGCAGGCAGTGCAGCCAGAGCCTCCCTGTTGCAGGGATGTCAGAGATAGAATCTGACGTTTCATGTGCCTCCCACTTTAAATTGTTAGCAAACCAATTCAAACAAAACACTGGCACATAAAATGCATACATCCATGGGCCCTGGTTTGTGACCCTTATGTAGATAATAAAAAGTGGTCATTAAGAACCTTACCAGTTGCCCAACTGCCATCGATTTCAATGCCAGATCTCTCCCCTGTGCAGATGCGGAGGGTGCATGGTTGTGCCCTGCAGAACAGATGGGGGCCTTAGGCTAAATGAGGAACTGATCCCCTTCGGGGATGATGTTGGAGCAGGGAGGGTGTGCGTGGACTCACCCTGAGTGCTGAGAAACCAAGTACAACATGGTGGTTACATGAAGTCTGACCACGTAACCCGCGTGGTTAGGTATATTGTGAAGCAATTTGTGAATCAGCTTTTGGTGGTCTTCACCAATCCTTGGGGACCAGTCTCGGTTTCCAAGAGGAAGTGTTATTAGGAGTTTCTTGGGGCCCGTCCAAGAGCCCTGATGAAAGAATGGAGTGTTTGAGGTGGCCGAGGTGCTGTGGGATTGTTGGTTAAATGGTTCACCCACCGAGGGGAGGAGACCTGGGGTAGGTCCTCTTCATGCCCGGGAAGGTCTGGGAGCCGTTCAATTCCACCCTCGTTCAAGTCTACTCAGCTCTCGAGCCCAGGTTGCCTCAGGGGTTGAGACCAAAGCAGGCTCTCTCACTGCAAAGCGTGGCCATCCCTGTTCCGAAGAGTGCGGCTGCGGCCTGCCGGACGGCCTCTCAGGTTGTCACTTGCCAGCTGGCCTCAGGGGAGGGCAGTGGCACTGCTGCCTCCAGGTTCCTCGGCGGGTCAGAAAGTTCCGGGCTGTCCTTTCTGCAGTCTGGCAGAGCCTGGGCTCTGGCCGGGCCTTTGCTCAGGTCACAGAAAACCACCAACCAGCAGACACAGGCCTTTCATCCAGGATGGGATGGTCCAGTCCTATCAGAACTCACTGTGCCTGCCACTGCCTCCTGTCCCCAGGAGCGAGGCTGCTCGCCCACCTTCTGGCCAGGCCACAAGGTGCTGCCGGGGGTGTGGGGGTCTCCAGGCAGGTCAGGACTTCCCCTTTCATACGGGTGGTTAGCTGCAGATACCGATACCCGGCAGTTCCCTCTGTTTGTGGCTGACATCTGCCTTTGAATATGGTCCTTGAATACAGTCCTTGAATAAGGTCCAGCCAGCCTGCTGTCACATTTAGCCAATCTCAGCCTTGGGACACGCCCAATGCAACCTGAACTGAAAGGCAGAGCAGCATTTTTAGTCATTTAGCACAATGACCCTGTACTGATTTTTTAAATGTAAAATTATGCAAATACTATTGAAATACAGCCTCATAAAAGAGTGGGACAATAGAAAAAACACACACAAATCATCCTTCACAGTTTAGAGTTTCTGTTAGTGATGTGATCTTCCTTAAGACATCAGCCTTGGTAATGCCTGTTGGGGGACTGTACTGGGATCCCCCGATGCTGTGGGATTCATTGCACTTCTCCTGGGGCATCTCCTAATGGTGGTGGAGCTGACATAGTCTTGTGTGGAGCCTGTCTGGGGCCATAGGAGGCCTCCCAGCAGATGCTGAAGAGCGGGGACAGTCCAGCCGGCTGCTCTGCAGACAGCTGTGGGCAGGAGCCCGGGTCAGAGAATCCCTCACAACCTGATCTTATCAGGCCCCTGATGGGGAGGGTGGGGGTGCTGGAGTGTGTTCCAGGCTGCCGGCTCTGCTAGGAGATTGAAGCCTCCCCCCCTCCCCCCCTTTCTCTTTCCCTCTCTTAGGTACTTCGTGCTGAAGATCTCTGCAGGGATCGAATATCCTGGGGAGATCAGGTGGCCACTAGCCTTCTGTCTCTTCCTGGCCTGGGTAATCGTGTATGCATCTCTGGCAAAAGGAATCAAGACTTCAGGAAAAGTAAGACCTTGTATTTACCCAAGAGAAAGCTCTGGGGCACCCAGGGGTGACTGTGTCCGGAGCAGGTTGAAGAGCTCTCTGGAAAGGGTATTGGGACACACAGGCGCGATTCTGTTTCTGGCGCTGAGTAGCGGTGGGCCTGGGCGAGTGACTGCCTGCCTGCCCGTGAAAACGGGGTAATGACACCTTTCTTTCAGGGCCCTTGTGAGGACTGAATGAGGCAAACGTACCCAGAGCTCCTGATGAACGGTGGGGTGCTGCGATTAGTTTCCTTCCTTTCCTATCGGGAGCTGCCACTTCATTCAGCAGACGGGACCTCCCTGATAGGATTCAGTCACTCTCCTCGAACTCTAGAACTAGCGCTCCAGGCCTTTTGCCTCTCGGTCTGGCTGCCGAGTCAGTTATGGCTGCTTCCAAGATGCTGGGAGAAGATCAAAACTGTGAAGCGATCCCTTCCTCTCAAGCATCCACCACGTTCTCAGCCTTTCGTGCCCTTGTTCCAACCCCCAACCCAACTCTCCTCCACCCTGTGCCCCCAGCACTGACGAGTGGCCATCCTGCCAGTGGGATCTTGGTGACAGTTGATGGGTGATAGCTGGGCTGGTGCTTTGGAGATGTGGGAAGTCCCACCCCAAGCTCAGTTCCGAGGCAGGCAGGCCAGCAACCAGGAAACCCAGGACGCAGGGCTGCCGCCACAGGGCTCCCATTGTTTGTATTAGTCTGTGCCGGTTTCGGCTGAGGATGGCATCACAGCCCCTTCTTTCCTTTGATTTAGAATTTAGTCCTTGGTGCTAGATCATATGGGCTTTCTGGAATGGGACTTTCCAAGCAGCCCTGAGCAGGGGTTTCTTTCGGATCTGCTACCTTGTCTCCGCTTCATTGGGAAAGGTTGCCAAGTAGGGATCGATGATCGATTCTTTTCTAAATGAAGAATAGCAGCAGAAATAATGACACAGCCCTGGAGTGTGCAGACATTAATCATGGAGCATTGCTGGGAAGCCCGGGTGAATGCGTGGCTGAAGCTTCTTATTATAATGGCTCCTTTGTGACTGAAATTCCATGAACACCTTCATTTCTAAGCAGCAGGGATGTCCTCCCGCTCCTCCTGCAGCGAGACAAGCTCCGTTCCTCTTGCTCAGGGGCCCTAGGAGACAAGATTGGCTCCTTGCTTCCGCTGAGGCCTCACTCTTCCTTTTGAGCGGCCAGAATTCCAGAGGCAGGGGCGAGCAGCAGGCAGCCCGAAGGTCAAATGCAGCCCATCAGACCCAGGGGCTGCTCTGCCTGAGACTTGTGGCAAAAACGCAAAGCTAACCTAATTAGCTAGCACAGGCTGGTGGGGCCTTACCTTACCACCTGTTCAGGGCTCCCGCTGTGAGGAAAATGCAGCCAAGTGTCAGGCCAGCAGGCTCCCATCAACCAGTCATCGTCACTCCTGCCAAGTGTAATTCATTACTGTTCAAGTTTAATTCCTCTGACAGTACATTCCGAAACAGGTGCACCCGGAAGCTCCCCCGGCCCAGGGGGACTAGCTGGCACAGAGCCTCCGTGCACACCTGGCTCACATGTAGGCATCTCCAGGATGTGTAAGCCAAACATGGGCCCTTTCCCTTCAGCAAGATCACTATCTGCAAAGTAAGTGCAGCGTCCCACACGCCAGGGCCCCGCTGGGTGAGGCAAGCAAGTGTGCAGGGTGTGAAATTTAAGGTGGCACTCACTCTCAGGTTCCTGTGCATGCTGCTTGGACCCTGGGCACGGGTGCCTTCTTAAATTTTGAACTCTATGTGCCTCAATTGCCTCTCCTAAACCCTGGCCTTGCCTCTTACATTTCTGATCACCTAGCCCACTGAGGGCCATTGCAGGGCTTTCTGGAATGGGAACCTTGGATCCAACAAGGGCGGATCTTAGCTGCAGCTGGGAGACCTTGAGTGAGATAGTAAACCCCTTGCAAGACACAACCTGAGCCTCGCTTTCCTCCTGTACAAAATGTGACTGCTAATGGCTGGTCCAGAGCGGGGGCTCCAGAAATGGTCATATTCGAACAGCTTCAATAGTCAAATGGGAAGAGTTGTCTCAGCCAGTTCGACTGGTGCCAGTCTGGGGTTTTCTTCCTGCTGCTCTGCTGTCCGGGTCGTGTTCCTTCTTTCTATCCTCACTTCCTACCAGCTGACAGTGGTCAGGAGGTAAAAAGACTCCTCCGGTGTTACCCAGCCCCTGCTGCCTTGGCTCAGTGGGGACAGTCAGACTGGCCAGGGCCGTGCCCCGCCCTCGTAGCCATCGCCTCTCCCCAGCCCCATCTGGCAGCTGGGAGGACACCCCAGGCCTTCCCGGGGTGGGCAGTTTTCTCCTGAGATGTCAGATGCCTTTAGTTCCCTCATGTCTGTGTAGAAGGGCTTCCTGAAGAGGAAGGAGGGAAGCAGGTTTGGCAGGAGTATGCCCCTCCCCGACAGTGCCCAGCAATCCCAGTGCTTGAGGCAAGGAGGGAGGGGAGACTGCTGTGGGGGAGGGGCCAGGAAGAGACACCCCCCCCCCACCCCCCCACCCCACCCCCACCCCCGTCAGTAGAGGTGGGAGGTAGCAGTGCAGGGAAACGGACACCCGCCCATCCCTGTTCTGTAGCCCAAAGGAAAGAATTGGACTTTGAGCAGTAACTGGGTTTAGAGGAAAAAACAACCCCTCATTTCACCTTCACCTGCAGCCTGCCCCATTTCAGCTAATGGCAACAGCACCCTTTCGGTTGCCGAGGCCAAAAACTGTGGGGTCATCCTTGCTTCCACCCTCCTTGCCCTTCGTGCCACATAATCCGTCAGGAAATTATGCAAAACATATCCAGTGTCCGACCATCTCTTCTAGCTCCTGTGAGACACCTGGTTGGCACCCACACCCTCCTTGCCTGGATGGCAGCATGGCCCCCCAGTAGCTGCCCCTGTTTCTGCCCTTGCGCCCTGCAGTAGCTTCGCAGCAGAGCAACTGGATGGAGGCTAAAATGTTAGATCATGTCACTCTGCCCACATGCCTGCGGCGGCTCCCACTCCCCACCAAGCAGAGGCCCCACGAGGCTCCACGGCACCCGTCCCTCCCTCACCCCCACCTCTCTGACCTCCCCTCCTGCTTGTGCTCTGCTCCTTGCTGTTCCTGGAGGTCAGGCACAGCCCCTTTTTAGGGCCCTACTCCAGCTGTTCCCTACATCTCTAATGTCCCGCCCCCCCATTCCAGCTGGCTCACTCTCACTTCCTGCAAGTCCTGGCTAGCTTTGCAGTGAGGCCTTCCCTGCCCGCCCCATTTCCGCACGGCCCTCTTTCCAGCGTCCTCCCTGCAGGTCCCGCCCCCTTTTCCTCTGCTTTCCTCCCCCCCACAGGGCACACATCACCTTCTAATATGCCGCAAATGATATTTTGGTTGCTACTGGTTACCTATCTCCCTAGCTAGAATGTAAGCTATTTGAGGGCAGGGGTCTTTGTCCTGTTTACTGGTGTACCCCACATGCTTCATGAAATGATCCCAAAGTTGTATCTTAATCTCAACTCTAACCTACCCCCAACCCATTTCCTGCAAGTCCCCAAATCGGCCCTCATGCCCTGAATCCCAGTGTCTGCCAGTCACTGGAGCCCCCTTGCCGGGCCCTGGAGTTGGAGCCCTAGAGTTGCAGCCCTAGTGCGTGGTGAGGCCTGTCTCCCCCGCAGGGGGCAGGTGTCCCATGACGGACGCCGGCAGGGGGGAAGGGTGGACTGAGCCAACAGTGCTCACACAGCTGGCTGTCGGAGCCCACCGCAGGGATCAGAGAGGGCTTGATGGGCTGGGAAGGGAGCTTAACCTCACCCTTCCCAGTGTCTTCTAATGTTCAATGGCACTTTCGGATGCCATTGGCCTGCGAGCTGAAGGTTGTCAGTGTTACTGAGACTGGGGAGACCTAGGCAAGACCAAAGCAGCACTTCTATTTCCGGTGCCCCCAGGCCTGAACCACTTTGAGTGGATGGACCCACTGTATTCTTCCAACAGCCCCAGTGAGGAATATGCTGTTGTTATCACCACTTTGCAGGTGTGGAAACTGAGACTCAGAGAGGTTGTCATTTCTCAACGCAACCCAGCTCGGAAGTGAGGGAGCTGGGGTTTGAACTTAGGCCTGCGGGACTTTAGAACCTGAACTCTCACAGCCTGCTCTTCTCTCCGTCTACCAAGCCCTTTCTTCATCCCCAGGTCTGACTGAGATAGAGAAGGAAAGCACCTCCCACCCATCACCATCCTTAGCCAATCACAGTCCCCCAGTTCTGCTGATATTTCTTCCCAAATGTTTCTTGATCGTGGTCCCTCCCTCTGGTCCAGGGTCCGGGAGCTTCCTCTGGCTGGCACTCACAGCATCCTATGACGTGGTCTCCTCCCATGTTCCTGGTGTCACCCCCTCCCCCCGTCCCCCCATCGCTTTTAGCCTTAACTTTATTCGTCCTGATAGTGACCGGAGCTCTGCCCTCACCCCCCTGCTCGCCCACTGTCTTCCTCCACCCTCCCACTGTGCCTCGCCTCATCGGCCTCTCAGAGCCAGCTCACAGGTCATCTCCCAGACTCTTTCAGTCAACTCCCAGGTCGAGCCCAGTGCCCTCCCCTGGACGTCACAGTGTCCCATGTGCGTCCTTCAGCCCATGATTCGAATACCGCCTCTGCGTCTCAGTCCAGGTCAGGAGTCCCTTCATCAGACAGTATGCTGGGGGTTCCTTTGATCCTCACAGGTACACATTTTTAAGAAAGGCGCCCTTACCCGTTCACAGATGCAGAAACTGAGGTTCAGGAAGCTTAATAGCTTGTCCCAGTTCTCACAGCTACTCAGTGCCAGAGGTGCAGTTTCATTGAACCTAAATGTGTCTGATTCTCAGGGCAGGGTTTTCTTACCTCACCAGGCTGCCTCCCTTAGGGTGTCTATTTAAACACGGATGGACCGCTTAAGCTAAAGGGATGAATCTCTAATGGCGGGACTTGGGGCCCCTGGCAGAGGGTGGGCTGGGAGAGAGGGGAGGGGAGGGGAGGGGAGGGGAGGAATCAGCACGCCAGTGCTGGGAGATCTCCCCCAGCCATCCGCATTGTGGACTGACTCACCCCTCAGCCTCGGGTGTCCTCCTACAGACTTCATTTTGGTTCCCTCTGAGTCACCCTTGGTCCCAGTGCCTTCCCCGAGTCCCCAGCCCCGGCAGAGCTCGCGGAAAACTCCCCGGATGCCCTTGGCACAGGGCCCCCGCGTCCAGGCGGCAGAGCCGGCTCGGCCTCTGTGGAAACCCCGTGGGCTCGGCCCGCAGGTCTGCTCAGTCTGTCGGTTGGCCCTTCCAGGTGGTGTACTTCACGGCCACGTTCCCGTACGTCGTGCTCGTGATCCTCCTCATCCGCGGGGTCACCCTGCCCGGGGCCGGCGCTGGCATTTGGTACTTCATCACGCCCAAGTGGGAGAAGCTCACGGATGCCACGGTGGGCTTCTGGTTTCATTTATGACTCGCTGCAGGGGCGGGGGGCCCGCACAAGGGAACTCTCCCGCGCTGGCCGCAGGCTGTGCGGCAGGTGGGGTCAGGCCTCCTCCCACAGGGCACCTCACCGTTCTGTTGACCAGACAGTCTTGGAGCGGTCCGCACTCCGGAACCCTGTAATGAGAAGTGGGCAACTGGGGGTTTTCGGATTCCTGGAATAGTTGTCCTACATCTCAGGCAGCAGAGGCCGGAATGAAGAATGAAATCCCCTTAATAGCTTTGGGCCACCTCACACCGCTTACCTGTTACTAATTATAGGGTGTTGGGAGTGGACAGTTGCTGGCCTGAAGATAACAGCACACTTAGCCAGACCCCAGGCAAGTCTGTTTAAAGGGCTCAGATGCATCTGAGAACTTCTGGCACACCGACACGGGGCCAGCACACGCTTGCACTTTCTCCGTGCGTGCTCTGCACGGGCACGCCTTACTCTGAAATCCCCAGTCCCCAAACCTCCAAATGAGGGGGTATCTGTTGAAGAAGAAGTGAGTTTCCTCACCTTAAAGAAATATATATTTTTCCAGAATATGTTAAGAACACATAGCTAGCCTTGAGTGTGCACATAACAGAAAATGCCCAGATAAGGGCAACTTAAGATAAAAGTGTGTTTCACTTGCATGCACTAAAGCAGCCCCATGGTAGACAGTCGGGCACTGGCTGGGTAGCTCCAGGGTGTCATCAGGAGCCCAGGCTCCTGTCTTTCTGCCCTAATATCCTCAGTGTGAATAGCTTCCACATGGCTGCCAGAGCTCCAGCCATCATATCAGTATTCCAGATAGCACAAAGGGGCGAGAAAAGGGGTAGAGATAGGTACCCTCGCTCTCTTTAAATGTGCAGAAATCCCAGAAGTCCCACATCATGCATGATTTTCACATCATTGGCCAGAAACTAAATAGTACGATTATCCCCTCTTGGCTTGGTACCCCTTGATGCGGGGAGGGGGTCCTTTAGCCAGACAAATGACTAAAGGAGTACAGGAGAGTGGATGCTGGGGTAGGCCTGGTCTTTGCCAGCATGCACTTGAAATTTCTTTGTGTATTTTAAGCACAACTTAAAAACCAGATTTAATATATAAAAACGATGGGAAGTCTATCATACAAATCATATAAATCTCTGGCTCAAACTCTTGAGTGGCCTTCTGCAATTTTATGAGCACAATTAATAAAAATCACCTAGGGAACCGAGAGGCAATGTCAGCCAAGTTCAAGAGGCATGTGGCTCCATAAAGCCTACCCTGCTGTGGACAGAGGTGGCTTTACTCAAATGAGGGGCTGTAGAATTTCAGAATTTTAATAGCAGTTGTAGTAAACTATAGGGTATTGATTTTAAAAGGTTTATGTAATGTACCCACGAATATATCTTGCTGCTGCAAATTGGTTTTTGAGAGTGCTTGCAGCCACAGAAAGGGATCTCTCCTCTGTATAGCTCTCCATGGTAGGAAAGAGAAGATGAAATATGTACGTGGCTTATTGAGTTCCTCTTCTCTGATTCGAATGTAGTCAAAATCTCCCAGGTAATTCACTGCCTCTTTGGCTCCCAGCACAAATGAGGTTTCACATTTACCCTGGTACCAAACCATCCAGTCCCTGACTGCCTTTGTCTGGGGAGATGACGTGGCCTTGGTCACAGCAGACTCCCCTTGCATGGCCAACCTCTTCCAGCAACCTTGACTCTTCTTCCCTTTTGCCCACCAGGTGTGGAAAGATGCTGCCACTCAGATTTTCTTCTCTTTATCTGCCGCGTGGGGGGGCCTGATCACTCTCTCTTCCTACAACAAGTTCCACAACAACTGCTACAGGTATGTGGTGGCTGTTCCAATCCCAGGGGCGGCTGGTGAGTGGGAATAAAGCCTGGGGACAGAGAAATGGACTGAAGCCACATGCTCACACTCTACTTGAAGTAGAGCCAGAGAGGTGCCTCTGGCATAGGTGACCCCCGCTGAGGACTAGCTGCTGGCTTCTGGTGGCCTGCACCCTAATTTGTACTGCAGAATCTGTCACATGGGATGGAACTGAGTCCCTGGCGGTGCTGAGCAGCTAGCTGGCTGGGCCCTAGGGTAGTCATTTTGTAAGCCATCTAGTCCATGGCATAGTTGTATGGTAGCCACTGTTCAAAGTAAGGTCATTTAGTCACTCAACAAATATTTTTCTAGAGATTGCTATAAAAACTCACCTTGGTAATGGATGTGTTAATTAACTCGATGGTAGGGATCCTGTCACAATGTATACATATACTGAGTCATCACATTAGCCCTCACTGGTGTGGCTCAGTTGGTTGGAGCATCACCCTGCAAAGCAAAAGGTTGCTGGTTCGATTCTTAGTCAGGGCACGTACCTGGGTTGCAGTTTTAGTCCCTGGACTAAACACCCCAGGGACACCCCAGTCCCTGGTCTGTGGGTGTCTGAGAGACAAGTGATCAATGTTTCTCTTGCACATCAATGTTTCTCTCCCTCCTTTCCCCTCTCTCTAAAATAAGCAAATAAAATAAAAATAAAATATCACATTGTACACTTTTAAATATAACATAATTTTATTTGTCAGTTACACTCCATAAAGCTGCAAAAATGCAAAAGTTTGAGCCCCCCCCCCCACCAGATCTATTAATCAGAAGTCTGGAGGTGGGGCAGGCCCAGGAACCTACGTATTCAGACAGGGTCCTCAGGGGATTCTGATGACAGTGACGTCTGGATGTATAATGTTAGGAGGGGCTCTGGAACCCCACAGACCTGCCAGAGCCTGACCACTTCCTGCAAGAGACTGTATCTGGAAGTTAAATATGTCTATGATAAGCAATAGTAAAATAAGGCCCATTGTCTCAGGAAGCTGATAAAAAAGGAAGGGAGTGAGGAAGGAAAGAAGGAAGGAAGGATGGAAGGAAAGAAAGGAGGGAAGAATTGAGGGAGGGAGGAAAGAAGGAGGGACTGAAGGAAGGAAGGAAAGTAGGAAGGAAGGAAGGAAAGTAGGAAAGAAAAGAGGGAAGAATTGAGGGAGGGAGGAAAGAAGGAAGGAGGGAAGGAAGGAAGGAAGGAAGGAAGGAAGGAATGTAGGAAGGAAGGAAGGAAGGAAGGAAGGAAAGTAGGAAGGGAGGAAGGAAAGAAGGTTGGAAAGAAGAGAAGGAGAGAGGGTGGACTTGGAGTCAGACAGTTGGGTTTTGACTTTACCACTCACTGAAACCCCAAGATGTGGGCAAGATATAGCACTTCTCTGAGCTTCTGTTTTATCATCTATAAAATTCAGATTATATTTGGCTGAGGGGTAAGAGATGATGTATGCAAAATTTTCAGAGCAATATTTGGCACATAGTAGGTGCTCAACAAATGGCAGTTGCCATTAGTGTTATTGTTAACGATTGGAATATTTTGTAAACCAAGAAGACAAGATTGTAGGTAAGCTGTGGCCTAGGGTGGCTGGGAGGGCCCCGCAGGAGTGGGATGTGTACTGGGCCAAATTTCAGGGGGTGCAGGGGAGGAGGGAATGTTTCCAGGAGGCAGAAACTGCTGGGGTTGGGAATGCCTGGGAGTGAGTGGGACAGACATGTGGGGAGGGAGTGAGCGGGGGACTGGAGCGGCAGGTGTGTGCCTGGTGGCTAGAGAGCACCTCTGTATCAGTCTGCTAGGGCTGCTGTAACAAACACCACAGCGTGCGAGACCTAATCAGCAGAATTTGCTCACAGTTCTGGAGGCTAGGAGTCCAAGAGCAAGGTGCTGGTGGGGCTGGTTTCTTTTAAGACCTCTCCCCTGGGCTGTAGATGTCCATCTCCTCCCCGTGTCCTCACATGGCCTTTCCCTGCACGTGTTATGTGTCCTAATCACCCTTTCTTATAAGGGCAGGAGTCATATTGGAGTATAGCACCCTAATAACTTCTTTTTAACTTAATTACCTCTTTAAAGATGGCGATAGCGTCTTTACAGTCACGTTCTAAGAAACTGGGGGTTAGGAATTCAACCTCTGAATTTTCGGGGCACACAATTTGGCACATAACAGGGGAATGCCAGACTATGGTGCTTGAACTTCTTTTTTTTAAAAAAAATTTTTTAAGATTTTATTTATTGAGGGAAGGGAGGGAGATAGAGAGAGAGAGAGAGAGAGAGAAACATCAATGTGTGGTTGCTGGGGGTCATGGCCTGCAACCCAGACATGAATCCTGACTGGGAATTGAACCTGTGACACTCTGGTTCACAGCCCGCACTCAATCCACTGAGCTATGCCAGCCAGGGCAAACTTCTTTGGCCACAGCTACTCACTGACTTATGACCCGAGAATCAGTCTGCACACGGGGAAGCATCGCTCTGTGCTTTGTTAGAAGTGGAGCTGTTTGGTTTGGCTGAAGGAACGTGGGGCTGAGATCCAGGGAGTCTGGATAAAAATCCTGACCTTCCATTAATTAGCCATTACCTTCCACTGGGCTTCCGTGCCCTCATGGGTAAGCTAGGGGCAGGCAAGGCGGGTTGTCTACCGAGCACGTGTCTGTCCGGCAATCGTCCCATTCTGCCCTCACAACAGCTGCGAGGGAGGTAGGGTCGTTGCCACCATTTAAAATCAGAGGGGAAAGAAGTGACTTGCCGAGAACATGTAGGAGAATCTGGGTTTTGATTTGGCTCTGAGGCTCCACCTTGCTGTGACCTCTGTTGAGTTGGGGCTGGCTGGGCAGGGCGGACTGGGGAACCGCAGCCTGTCGCCAGCAGAGGGCGCTGGGCGGAACGCAGAGCACAGGTTGGCTCCTCTGCTCCCCTTTGCCCTTCTCTGTCTGGGCGCCCCAGCTTCAGGCTGTCCTCATACCTTGGTGGCATTTCACGGTCCCACTGCCTTCTCTTCTCTCTTCCATGGTTCCTGGCCCTGAAAGGCCCCATCCGCTCCGTTTTGGCTCTGATGGACAGACTTACCCCAGTCAGTGTAATGAGGGAACCCAGGTCCCAGCCTGTGGAGCCAGAGGCCCTGGCACAGGGCAGTTAGGGGAGACCTGTTTGCGCCTCTTGGTGCATATAAATTCAGCCCCAGGGAGTCCGTGGTCAGGACTGGTGGTCCCTTTCCTTGTGAATGAGAGAAAACAAGGCCAGCCTGCAGTGAGTGCGTGTGGAGAAATGGCGTGCACACAGACACATGTGCACACGCTGTGTCCTTCCCCTTGTCCTTCCTCCTTACCACGCACACCTAACAGCCAACTCTGGTCTCTTCCTCCAGGGACACTCTAATCGTCACTTGCACCAACAGTGCCACGAGCATCTTTGCCGGCTTTGTCATCTTCTCGGTTATTGGCTTCATGGCCAACGAACGCAAGGTCAACATTGAGAACGTGGCGGACCAAGGTACAGTGTCATTGTCGCCCTGCTGTCACAGGGCAGGTTCCTGGCTCGCTTCATGAGTCCCCATTTCTGCTCTGCTGGGGAGTTGGCCTTCTGGAGTCGGATGGTGGGTTGGACAGCCCGGGCGGCCCTTTGTGGAGGGACAGAGATATATCTTCAGTAGAAGCTCATGCAGGGTCAGGGCTGGCTGGTCCCTCACTGGGGTGGGGGGCGCTACAAAGGCCCCTGTCCTGCGTCCCCCTCCTCTGCTTCATTTTCTCTTCCCTTCTTAGCTCAGCTCCGGCCTAGGTAAGGCCTCTGCCCCTTACACCCGTTGGTGTGGGTAGAGCCTCCAGCAGGCAAAGCAGTGTCCCGGAGCTGAGGCGGACACAGGCTGCCGTGGGGTGCATTCCATGCAGGGGACTCTAGAATCTTAGTGCATCCGCTTCATGAGAGCGTGGACTTCAGAGCCCCTTTCCTAACCAAGCACTTTCCTGGTCATAGGTCAAATGTGCTTCTAGGGCTCTCTGCTCAGGGAGCAAGACTGTGATTTTTTTTTCCCCCAGTGGGTGGAAAGGTTGGATGCTGGCAGTGGAAGGGATGCAGAATAAATGGTTACTCTCTCCCCAGTCACCCCTGTGTTCATGGCCAGCATTCATGTGGCACTTCCGAGTTTACAGAGAGCTTTCCTTTTCCTCCCATTTAATCTGTATCTCTAGCTCAGCATTTTGCAGAGAGAGCGAGTGTTTAATATTTTTTATTTAACACTTGATTTCCACCCAGCCTTGTTCTCCAAAGAATTTGGGTGTTTGGCAGGTTTTGTGGATTAAGGGAGTTCGTCATGGCTGTGACTGTCTGTCATTATGATCATTCCCTAACCAGACCTTCGGGGGCTTCAGTGTAGGGACCAGGCCAGGGTGGCTTCGCCGGGCAGTCACCTTTCTTCAAGAAGCCCGCTGCCATTCTCAGAAATGGCTCAGATGCCAGCATGCGAGAGAACTAAGCCTCAGAAATGTCACCTCCTCGGTGGGCTGCTGGGTCTGTCCTGGCTCCCCAACAGTAATTAATTAGTGTTTCAGCAGGGCTGTGGGCCTCACAGAGTTAAAGAGCCAGCATGTTGCAGTGGTGCTTATCTCTCTCTGCGGAGCCTGGGAAACTCTGGGGTGTCTGGTTCTGCAGCAGTGCCCTGGTTTAGGGGAGCTGAGCCTGTGCCTCTCCCCGGTGGAAAATCCTCAGCTGCCCGGAGGGCCGGGTGGGACAGAGAGGGGCGAGGAGGCTCTGTCTTCAGGGGTACCCGTGCACCCCAGCCATCCTCATTCCCTGCAAGCACAGTAGCCGCAGCAGGTGGGGTGCTGCCCCATTTTCTAGCAGATCTGAGGTGGTTTGTTATTTTTGTGACATTACTGTCCTCATTGTGAACCAGTGGCCAAGCCACACGAGTTAACACATCTGAGCTCTTTTCTGCTGCAGGAAAGGGATTTGGGGGCATGTGTCCCTAAAACCCAGATGGAATTCTGTTTTTCCTGTATATCAAAAGCACCAGACAATTAATTGCCCAGGCTTCTCTCTCAAACTTCCCCTTTCCAGATTGTTTCTACTTCCTCTGATTTTAACGAGGAGAAAACCCGTCTAACAGGTGTGGGTTTAACCTGGCGTGTTAATCCTGGGTGGTTTCTCACCGTCACCAGCACAGGGGCGGTGGGCTTCATTCCCCATGGAGGCGTGGGCGGGGGCGTGGCCTATGAGGACTTCTTCCTGACCCCATGGGGCTGCTGGCCCTGCTCATCCGCATTTGCCTGCATGAGAACGATTTGGGGGCCTGTCTGATCCCTCTGGTACGTATACTGCAGGTTCTGATGAATGCAGGACAGAAATTTGGGGTCAGGCCTGCATTAAATGCCAGCCCCACTCCCTCCCAGCTGGGCAAGATTGGCATGTTGACATGCAGTGCGTTTTTGCTGACCCAACATCAGTACCTGCGTGCTGGTCTCTAGTCAAAATCAGGTTCTCTTTAGCGACCTAACAACACTGTGTTTTGTTTACGGCTCCTTCTAAGGGAGAAGTTTTTGTCGTAGTCATTACCCCAAATCTCAGCCATTCTGGAGTTTTGGGGGCGGAGGGTGGGACTGGGGATGAGACCAAGGTGTCCTCTCCTTTTCCCATGAGCACAGGCAAGGGCATGTGTCCTTCTCAGGCATCGACCCCAGACAAGCCGCTCCCTGGAAAGCCAGCCTCCCAGCATCACGCCCCCGGCTTCCTGTGGGGTGGTGACTCTGGGTCAGCATCAGCCCCAAGCCCTACGAAGATACTCATCCGACAGCAGAAAGGCTGGGTTAGAGCAGAGCAGATGGACACAAGTGTGTGTTTTGTGTTTAGAGTCCCCAGGGCTAGTGTGACTGTCAGGTAAGCAGACCACTAGGAAGTGCTGCCATCGTCCCCTCACCCCTAGGGCTTCAGAGACCGTGCCAATCAAAGTGAACAACCTCCAGCAGGCCTGACTGTCCAGCCATCTGCCTGCCACCTGGGTGCCAGCCCTTCTGCCCAAAGGCACAAGGGAGGGTTCAGGTGCATCTTCTGAGGACTATTCCGCTTGTAATAGGCTTCACGGCAGAGTGGCCCTTCCCCAGGTGCTGTGGGTCTCGACATGTCGCACTGACCAGGGCCCTCGGCTGTGTCTCAAGTGTCTCTCTAGGATGAAGGGTGCTGTCCCTCTAGGTCTCTGGGGCCTGTAGGAGTTGCTGGCATGCAGAGTCCCTTTGATTCCCTGTCACAGGGAGAGTATAATGGTCTGTGCTCACTGAGTTCTCCCGTGTCCAGGCATTGTTCGGAGCCCTTTATTTGTATCAACCCATGTAACTCTCACAGAAGCCTGATGAGGGCGGGTACTGGTATCTCCATGGCGTGGAGGAGGAAATGGAGCTTCGTGCCAGAGCGAACAAGGCTCCCCCGAGGTCTCACAGCCAGTGAGAGGCGGGGCCCGTGTCCCAGGGCAGGGGGCCGGGGAGCCCGCTGCCCCGCAGGGCCACACTGGCTCGCCCGGTCTGGAGCGACAGGGCTGGGCCTCTGCCGGACGCGTGGGCCTCACCTGGGCAGAACTCTGCTGTGGCTCTCAGAGAGGCCTTATTTGGAGAAAAAAATCTGAACTCTATAAAACAATATGAAAATGTATTTTTAAAAACCAGTCTCCTGCTGTTTTGGAGGAACAGCGCTTGCTGGAAAGGATGCCTTCACCGGTGCACTGTGGTAGGGCGGTGGCTGAGATGGAAGCAGGCTGCAGGTTTTGAAACCGTTTTCCCCCGGAGAAGGGCTGAGTCCTGTTAAAGCAATCGGCCAAAGTCCTCTGCTCATGGCCATTTCAAGACCTCGCGTCCACTTTATGGGCCTGACTGTCGCCAGAGCACTGCCTGCCTTTCTCCGTGTCCTGCATCCGAGACCTCGTTTTGAGCTGTAGTTGGATACAGACTTTTATGGCTCACACAGCGAGCCTTCTGAGGCTGGCTGTACTGTGTGCTCTGTAAATGCATAAAGCAGGGGTATCTGAGGCATTCAGGGCTTTGTGCTTTAAATACCCCAAGGCCCTCACCGACATTAGGAACAGACAACCTGAGAAATTCCAGTTTAAAATGTGCTGTTACTCTTTAGCTGGCAGAACTCCGGGTGCTGTGATTTCCGGCGTCTACACGTGTGTGGGCTGTATGGCCCGGGCACACGCCGGTCTCTGCCTGTTATTGTTTAGTTTTCTGCTGACAAGGAAATTCAGAACTGCCCGTCTTTGGCCATCTCAGGTAGCAGCGATCTTCCTAGTGAGGCTGTGAGGCGGGTCGGAACTGCGGGCAGGGCTGTATGATGGCAGGGAAAAGGGCAGCTCAAACCTCCTCCACCGAGATCCCATGCAGTATTCTTGGGGAAACCTGAATCAGAACTGCTGACATCCAAGTTCATTGTTCACTCTTCGTAGAAGCTAATATTCTGCAAGTGTTGGTTGTGAGTGAGGCACCGGTCTCAGTGCTCTGCCTGCATTTTCTCATCTGTTCCTCACAGCCACCCAGGGAGGTACCACTGCTGTCCCCATTGTGTGGCTGGGCATGCCGGGGGCTCTTAGAACGAAATTACTTGTCTAGGGTTTTGCCGCTGGTGAGTCGTGGAGCATGAGTTTGGGCCCAGAGCTGTCTGACCATTAGAACCCGATCTTTCCTAACCCTCACACTGTGCTTTATCACCCCCATCTCTCCCAGCTAATTCCCCACGGACCAACAAGCCCCATCTTTAGCAAGCCTTTGTAGGGCAAGACCCTGAATGTGTTAGATGTAGTTACATTTTATGTAAGTGGATTCTCCTGGAGGAATGCATAGGAGAAAGCGTGGCTATAAAGGGGAAAATGACGTTACCCTGGGCATGGTCTCTCCTTCAGAGCATGTTCTCAACCTTAGCACTACTGATGTTTGGGTCAGATAATTCTTTCTCGTGGGGACTGTCCCCTGCAGTGATGGGTGCCCAGCAGCACCCCTGGCCTTCACCCTCTAGAGGCCAGTAATCGTCCACTGCCATCCCAGGTGTAAAAATAAAAAATGTCCCCAGATATTTCCCGATGTCCCCAGGGGCTAACTCATCCCTTGCTGAGAACCACTGTTCCAGGGGGTACTGGTTACAGTCTTTCCAACTCGTCCGTGTGAAGATGGGTTTTCGTGTTCTTTCGTGGCACACAGCTTGGCCTTGCAGTCTGAGTGTGCGCCTTGGCACAATTTTCGAGCCTTTCTTCTGAGTTCCCCAAGATATGGATGTGATTCCCCTGGTCCTTCCCTTCAAGGAGCTTGAGATCTAATTGGGGAAATGGTTAAAAATGAGTAAAAAAAATATAACCAGTGGGAGCAGCATACAGTCAGTAATAATACAGGATCTCCATGGAGAGAGGGCCTGGGGGCTTCCAGGAAGAGGGGGCCTGGAGCTGGGGCTGTCTGCAATCACTGTCTCGTTCTTTCCAGGGCCAGGCATTGCGTTTGTGGTTTACCCCGAAGCCTTAACCAGGCTGCCCCTCTCTCCGTTCTGGGCCATCATCTTTTTCCTGATGCTCCTCACTCTTGGACTTGACACTATGGTGAGTCCCTTCTCCTCCCACCCCTTCCCCAGGCTCCTTCTGAGCACTTCCTTCTCCTGGGTCCTGTGTCCAGCTGGCAGCAGGGGACAGGCTTGGTGGTACCTGGATTTTTTCTCTCAGCTATGTCGAGATGGTGAAGTTCCTGTCTAGGGCTCAGATAACCTTCTATTTGCGGGTGACTAGTGGGATGGTGCCAAGGAGCCGTCCTCTCCTCCTTTATTCTTTGCTCCATTTTCTGGGCAAGTTTAAGCCTGTGTATTTCCTGTGCTGGTGTCCTTTTGCCAAAGCAAATTCTGTGGGTCTGGGTGAGGGGAGAATAACAGGAAGTCAATTTCAGGGAAATTGCTGGGGGCCTGAGACTGCTGACTACCAGTCATGCTGACAGGCACTCTGAGTTCAGTAGTTAGGTACAAAGAGGGCTTTTCCTCAAGGAGAAGATCAAAACAGGTGAGCTGGAGGAGAGGAGTTCATACCTCATGAATGCAAAGTGAAGCTTCCCGTGTCCTGATGGGTGAGTATGAGTGCAGGCTGGGGTGGGGCGGCTGTAGCCACAGCTGCCAAAGTTCATGTCCTGCTTGCATTCCCCAGTGGGGTCTTTGAGACCCAACAAGGGAGTGCAGTCCTAGAAAACACACCTGATGCAGACGCACCCGCCCCGGTGGGAGGCACAGAGGGCTTTGGGAGCCGTCGGGACTGCGTGGTCTCTCTCCGATACCCTTCTCCCGGCACCCTTCCAGTTTGCCACCATCGAAACCATAGTGACCTCCATCTCGGACGAGTTCCCCAAGTACCTGCGCACACACAAGCCGGTCTTCACTCTGGGCTGCTGCGTTTGTTTCTTCATCATGGGCTTCCCAATGATCACTCAGGTGAGTTGGGGCGGGGAGGTGGGGACCTGGCGGCTGTCTGTCCTTCCAGACTCAGCTCTCAGACTCATAACAATCTCCAAATCCCTGCCATCTCTTCAGACTTGGCACCAATCTGTTAGGGATTCTGACCACACAGGGAAATATGTCTCCTTAGCTACGAGTGGCACTTCCAGCATCTTCATAATTGAGATGTAGCCTTCTTGAGCCAAAGAGACAGGTGTGACCCACTTTTAAAAAAAAGGCAAAAATCCAAAGTTACTTTGGATTACTGACCAGAGAAATTTCCAGTTGATCATAAACAAGAGTCTGAAGCCACCTGAGTTCCTTCTAGTCCAGAGTGTCTTGGTACATCGAGTGGTACCCTCAGTATATGTATTACTTTTGTTCTCTGTGTGACCTTGAGCAAGTTACCTCTTTGGGCCTTAGCATCTTTATCTGTAAAATGATGGCTTGGAATGGGATAGTCTCTCAGCCTCATCGATCCTAGAGAGACTTACAGAGCGCGGTAAAGATGCAGACAGGATGCAGGAGGAATGCCCAAAGTCACCTAAAGGTTATAGGAAGGTCAGTCAGACACATATGTGGGTAGAAATGATCATCTATTGCTTGAAGCAAAAGCACAGCAATCTGGCTGCTCTCACGTATGCACCTTCAGATGCTGATCTTCGCCTTTTAGGAGTAAGATGTTACATTGTTTCCTGTGCTTCCTTCTTTGATTGGCTCAGAGTCTCTCAAGGGACCGCTTTGCTACCATGGCAAGGCCTCTGGCTGGTGTACTGGGTCGGCTTTAGGGAGGGGAGGTCCCCTGCCTTCCGCCTGCACCCGACCCCCGTCTGCGGCAGAGGTGGGAGAGAGCCCAGGCTGGGCCCACCGATCTTGTTTCTCTTCCCCGCTAGGGTGGAATTTACATGTTTCAGCTGGTGGACACCTACGCTGCCTCCTATGCCCTCGTCATCATTGCCATCTTTGAGCTCGTGGGGATCTCCTACGTGTACGGTAAGGAGGCAGCTGTGCCTGCTGCTGCGGCAGCACTTGGTGTGGGTAAGCGGGCTTTCCATGTTTAATAAGACGATGGGAAGCCTTAGTTGCTGTGACTTAGGCAACCTAAGGGAGCTGCTCCTTTATTGCCAAGCTTGCCACAGGACCACTGAGATGCAGATTTAGTAGAGAAACAGCTTTGACGCCTCTTCCTTTGGTTCTCTCCCGTCGCACTGGGCAGAGGGCCTGGTCCAGAGGCCACCCAGTGAAGGCATGGATGGCACTGAAGGAAAGACACACATTGCCATCCAAAGATGGGCAGGGCTGCTGCTCAAAGCACACACTTCTTTCTTGCCTGTGGACCCCCTTCCCTCGTGGACTGGCCTCCCCAGAAAGGCCCTCAGAGCGCCTGTGGCCCAGTCCCCTCAGTAAACCAGCCAAGGCTCCAAGGGGGGCATGCTGTCCCCCAGGGCACGCAGTGAGCGGAGGCAGAGCCAAGTTCCAGTCTCAGATCCAAACTGCCAGTCAAGCGCTCTTCCCACTGCATAGCGTTTGCAGCTGACCCCCATCAGGGCTGCCTTGAAGGAGAGTGGGAAGCTCACTGTGCCCCGAGAACTTCCTGAGTGAGTGGGGAAAGGTGCCTTCGCTGAGTCCTCGGCAGTGTTCTCAGCACCGGCCACGAGGCTCGGTGACATTCTGGGCATGGAGTAGAAGTGAATGCCAGAAGCTGAGTGCTGCCACAGCCTCAGGATCCACTCTTTTGTCAGTGGTGGCGACCTTGAACCTCTTTTCGTAACATGATGGGCTGAGATGAACCATTCTGTTCCCCCCGACAAAATGCCACATCTCCGCTTTCTATGTCAGCGAGAGACTGTCTTCTCATACAACTCCATTCTTCCCCACTTGCACATAGCAGAGGGCAGGCGTTGGGGCAACAGGCCAGGAAGGAAAAGTCTGGACTGGGGCTGGGGGTGGGGGCCGTGGGCAGGTGAAGGCAGTTGGTCCAGCAGGTGCACAGGGAGGCGATGGCAAAGGGTGAGAGGTGGCGAGTGAAGGCTGGAGGAGGAGCCCTGGAGATGAAACTCCCTGCTCCTCATGGGGCTCAGGGCCCAGAAATCCAGGGGGCTGGGGGAGCCCGGGCACAGGAGGGGCCTGTGGCCAAGGTCTCAGGGAGGCAGGCCTGAGGGTGCGCAGGGGGTTATTCTCTAGGGGGGGCGGGGAGGCAGAGGTGCCTCCTCGTCTTTCCTCAGAAATGACCTAGGGGACGAAGGAACGAGGAGAATTAAGCTGAGATTGCTGGTTCCCTGGTCAGCTCCTTGCTGATGGTGAAGGAGCCTGAGTCACTCAGGTGCCTCAGCTCAGCGAGCCCACGGTCCTGAGAGACCTCAGGGAACAAGGCAGGAAACTGCACAGTTTGAAAACATGTCTCCATGGCTAGTTCTTTCAAGGAGTGGTTTTAAAACCCTCATAAGCCAAGGGGTGTGGCTCCATGTGGCCTTGAGAATGAATATCTTTCCTGCATGTTCCTTTAGTTGAGTTGACCAGTGACCAAGAAGATAGCAGCCCCTTGAGCTCTAGCAACGTGGGCAATGTTCCACTCGGAACTCATGTGGGTTTTTGCCTGACGATATCATCACACAGAGCTAGGATAAACCGATTCTCGGAGGACAATCCTTGGGAGGGGGCACAAAAACCAATGCACAGAGACTCTCACTCTGAATCCCAAGGCTTTTACAAAACACTGTACTTACTGAGTACAGTCTGAGTTGGTTTTGCTAGAGTTGCTGCTGAGCACATAAGGCCACCTCTGAAAACAGCCAAGTGGGTCGATATGCCCGGTGGTGGCAGGGCTGAGACTCCTGGGCTAGACCTGAGCTTTTTAGATGTCACTGGGTGTGTGTGGGGGGTGACACTTTTGAACCTCACTGAAGAGAGTATGTAGGGTATCTCTTTACATGTCCAATTTTCCCCGACCTTCCCGGCAGTGAGTCACGTCTGATAGTTTCTTGCATCATTGGGGTTATGTGGATGCCAGGCTGGGGCCGCCCCTTGCCAATGCACTTGAGTGAGGGGCTCTCATGCTACCCACCCCCCGCACCCTTGCCCCTCATGCTTTGCCTCCCCTTGTGTGTTTGCAGGCTTGCAACGGTTCTGCGAAGATATAGAGATGATGATTGGCTTTCAGCCAAACATCTTCTGGAAGGTCTGCTGGGCGTTTGTCACACCGACCATTTTAACTGTAAGGACTGCATGCTTCGTTGTGCCGAGAGCACCTTGCATCTGTATGTGGCTCACATGAGGACTGTGCCTACATGAGAGCCTGGGGAGCTAGGAGGATGGGTGTTCTTGTCTTTTGGATGTGGGAAAGAGGTGAAGCAACGTGCTTACTGGGCCTTAGCTGGCTGGGTGCAGAGCTAGGACCCAGGCACAGATTGGAGCATCTTACGGAGCATTTTCCACAACCTCAGCCTGTCTCACGCACTGGTGGCAGATAGCGATTCCACGTCCCACTGCTAACTGTGGTCTGATGCGTGCTCACCGGCCTGTAGTGAGCACAGAATGCTGTGGATGGCTTGTCGACACACGAGAAAAACATATACAGAGACAACCAGGTCCTGTGGGGGAGTAGGAAGGGAACAGCCACTCTCTCTAGTGGGGAGTGCCCCGTATCCATTCCCAAGCAGATTTTTATTGAGAAAACAGACTTAGTTTGTGGATTCACAGTCTGGCAGAAAAGATCTAAAGAAGCAGGTGACTTACAAAGGTGCAGACAGAACCCCCACTGTGATTCTGGGCAGAGATTGGAGTTTTAACATATGGCTCAAAGGGCTAGTTCATTTCCTGCTTGTGCCTTCATATTCTAATCTAATAACATCCTCCAGCAAACAGATCTCACAGGATCTTGCATATTCTATGTCCCAGGCCTGATTACCCCGGGGGTCTGCCGTTTCTGGTCTGGGCTGCACCGCCCCTGCTATTTCCGCAGGCCTGAGTTAACAGAGCAGACAAAGGCAGCCAGGAGACTTGGATTTCTCACTTCTAAGAACAAGGACTCAGGCTTTGACAAAGCCGAGGGGGCAGGGGTTGATGTCCATCACCCCTTCATTTCCACAGCCCCGAGTCTCTTCCCAGAGATCTCCTTGTGATCATGCCTGTCTTAGATGATTCCCTCCATGGGAAATCTTACCCGTCGTTGTCTAACTGATCAAGCTTAGGAGGTCAGACACAGAACAGGCAGCATTCATGCCAGGGAAATAAGTTTTGTCTCATTAGTGGCTCCTGGTCCAGAGGTCTCTCACTTAGCCTAAGTCACGGGGGGTTACAGCTTCCTGAGACAAGGCAGGGCAGTCCCCAACAGTGGTCCGGGCTGTGTTCAAAGTGCTTTGTGTATATCACGTCAGCTCTCCCCACAGCAGCTCTGTGGGCTGGGCATTATAGTCCTCTCTGTTTTGCAGATGAGGAAACCCAAACCAAGAGGTTATAAGACTTGCCTCGCATTGCACACCTAATGCACAGCAACAGCTTGGGTTTGAACCCGGGTCTGGCTGCAGAACCCTTGCTTCTAACCACTACTCAATGCAGACACTCTACAATGAATACGGCATAATATTAGACTTTCATTGTTCATTTTTATTGCTCTGAGGACTATTTAGTCAGCCTCAAGTGAGGTGATGACATTTTGAGATCAGCTGACATTCATCTTAGGGAGCAGAGCCTTTCAAGCATCAATAAATCTGCATGGGGACTTACATGCTCATCCTGTCACCTCCCTTCTTGTGCCATGGGCTGCAGGCTTTGCCTCCATGCCCTCTCTGAGCACAGTAATCCATGGAGACCTAGCGTTTCCCCCTCCTCCTCCCTGGTGGGTGGGCGTCATCTCCCAAGGCTGCAGGAAGCCAGCTGTCATTCCGTCTATACCCAGCAGGTGGCAGTAGAAACCAGATTAAGACCCTTGTTTTCCTACACAGTACCCACTTCTGTAAAGGAACAAGCCAGGATGGAAGTAAAATTGTAAAGAAAATATATGTTTTCCTTAAAAAAAAAAACTGCTACAGAATGAGTTTTAATCAAAACACCTCAACTTCTTCCTAAGAAGACAGAAGCTTAAACAGAAAAGCCATTTGGCATCCATCTCCCCCTGCACCGACACAGGCACCATTCTGAGGCCCACATTGGTACTCACATTTCAGAGGCTGTCATTTGTCCGAGAAGTCCCGCTGGATGGGGGCATGAGAGCCTAATGGAAGGGAGGTAGATTTTCCACTCTCTGGAATTCAGGGCCAAAATGTGTGCAAAGAACTGGGGGTCACCTGATCGGTAGGGAGGAAAGGCGATACCCTCCCACCTCCTGTGTTCTCTGGCTCCATCGAGCTGCGCCGTGTCCTCCAGTTACTGCTGCACGTGTCTTATTCTTGGGTCAAGTCAAAGTTGTTCTCTGTCCTAGATTCTCCGTGTCTTGCCCTCCAGTTCTGGAAGAGAGTAAGCTTCGGAGAACGTGATGACCTTCTGTAGAGAGATCGCGCAATGATAACCAGCAGTACCGTTTGTGGAGGCCTAGTAAGAGGCAAGCACTTCACGGACACTGTGTCGAAAGCTGTGGCCACTCTGCTCGGTGGCCAGTGCTTCCCCCGTTTTGCGGCTGTGTGCGCTGAGGCTAGGAGAGGCTGGGGGCTTGGCCAAGGCCACAAGGCTTGCAGGAGGAAGAGCCAAGAGCTGAATTCAGGCTTGTCTAGGCCACACTCTAATACATTGCTAAAAACCCAGTGCTCTTTAATTGTTTAATCCCAGTTTAGGGTTAAAATAATCTTCTTTATGAGTAGAATGTCAGGGAAAAGGAATTCTGGGGACTTGCTGTGGTTTTTTGAGGAAGTGCCTCAGCTATACTGTGCTGTACTTGGCTCCCATAATAAAACTCCCATCGGAGACCTGTGGAAAGGTCCAGAAAATAGTGTGAACCAGATCGTCCTGCTGTGCTTGAAAGCCAGGGCCAGGCAGCAGTGGTCAATTCTGTCATCATCATCAACCGAGGAGTCTCTGTCCTGGCCTTGGGCTGCCGTCAGCGAAAGGTCAAGGGGGCCTGACTCAGTGGCTCATCTCTCGTGGTCAGGCTCATGGGAGAGCAGGGTTTTTTTGAAGCTGACATGGCTAAGGGAAATTTATTGCAAGAATAAGTTTGCACAGAGAAGTTTGATGTGATATTTGTCCCACTGGACCTGGGTGTGGATGGACCACGCCTAACACATATTAATTGATTGATTGATTGCCATTGGACTTTTTCTATAAAATGGCTATTTGTAGTATGCTGGAATGAGCCAGGATTATGGGTTTAAATTGCTTCAAAACCCCTGAAATAAAATTGATCATTTTAATATGTTCCTTCATGGATTTATAGGGCTATAAATATTTTCCATGCAATTATTATGTACATAGTCAGATCACATTACTGAATTATACGCACACATAAGCAGATGTATTGCTATTTATATAGTAAATGAAATGGAGCAACTTACCATAAATACATTAGGCCATACTTCTAACAGATGGGTTAATAAAGCTTATAACGCTAGGGGCCAATGTTTAAAAAGGGGCCTAGAGTAAGGCATCGCTCTCCAGGAAAGCAGTTTTTTTTCAACAGTTGTCTTCAGACTCATGTTGCTCTGAATTGATGTGTCGCATTATTACTGCACCGGAATACTCACCCGCCCCAGCAGCCTGGGCGTCACAGCAATCACACAGATGCCTTACATTTGTTCAGTGCCTCATGCTTTCCCCAAACACCTCTGTAGATTATCTTTCCTGACACTGATTTGCTGCAATCATTTTTGGGCAGTTATTTTACTGCTTAAGACAGAACCAGAAAGGTGGGGAGGAAGGAAGCACGTGCGTCAGTGTCCTCATGTGCATGGTTCCAGGCTGATGCTGCCGGGGGCAGGCTGGATCCAGGGAGGCACGCAATTTTCTCAGCACGGGATGTCCAGAGACTTGGCAAGAGCGGCAGGAACCCCTGTTCTGTCCCTTTGGGTGCCTCCTTTTCCAGCACACTTCTGCCCTTGTTCTGTGTCAGCCGCACTAACCAAGTCTTCCGAGGGTTCTCACTGCTGTCACTGGCCCAAGTGGGTGGAAAAAACCATGACCACTCTTCAAATGGAGGGGGGACTCTGTAGTGAATGCCAGACTCTTGCTCCCAGAAAACTGCCATGTCATCTGCAGGGTGTGAACTATATCTGTTTTCTAGCAGAGACATAAAGGTCCCTCAGTTCATTAGAAGCAGAGTGGAGATTAGCTTCTTGGCCTCCTGGCTGTCCGCCCACCATGTGGAGATGAGGCCCCTTCACCTTGAGTGTCGAAAGGGGGCTGTGCTTCTGTTCTCTTTGTCCACTGCTTATGACAGGACCACACTTCCCACTCAGTCACTGCGTGGGGACCACTCCGGGTCTCACTCAGCAGCTGTACAGTCGGCTCCTGGGTGCTGGCCATTCTCCATTCAAGGAGGAGGAGTAGGTTCAATTCCCTTTTCAAAAATTAAAATGCGTAAACTTAATGGGATTTATTTCTTATAAAAAAAAGCTAATATCTATCATAGAAAGTATAGACAGCTTCTTAAAACACCCACCACCCTGCTCCCACCTCCCCCCATCAGTCACTCCTTGGCGTATGTCCTCTAAACTCTTCCTGCTGGCCTGTGTGTCCATTCCCGCAGGTGCTTTGCTCAGGTCCTCTGGGATGCAGGGTCAGCAGCTGAGTGTGAGCATCGGCGGCACCTCTTTGAGAGGCAGTGTCTTCATTTGGAGAATGGGTTACTGATACTTCCCTTTCAGGGCCGTTATGGGTGTGCAAGGAGATGGTAGATTTGTGAGCATCAAACCTGCAGCAGGGGCCCAGCGCACGGCTGTGCAATGGAGGCTGCTTCTCCCCCCTCATGCGTGTGTTCCCCTTTTCTTCCCAGTTCATCCTCTGCTTCAGCTTCTACCAGTGGGAGCCCATGACCTACGGCTCTTACCGCTACCCTCCCTGGTCCATGGTGCTCGGATGGCTGATGCTCGCCTGCTCCGTTATCTGGATCCCGATTATGTTTGTGATAAAAATGCATCTGGCTCCTGGCCGATTTATTGAGGTACGTCTGTCGGCTTCTTTCCCCTCCACCCCCTCCCAAGGGAGCTGCTCTGAAGGCCCTGTGCATTAAACAAAACAAAACAAAAAAAGGTTCAGCAAACTTATTCTGGAGGGAGACCTGGTGATTAAGTGATTGCAGTTGCCACTGTTTCTATGAAACCCATTCTTATTATGTATTATTCCTCTGATGGAGGCACTGAGCCAATCCGTAGGCTGCGCTGTTATTACGTTATTCCTCAGCACGGCCACAGCTCCGGGCGGTCCCGAGCCAAAGCCTCCTCTTTCCCAGAGCTTTCTGCTCCTCCGCCCTCACCCAGTTTCAGCCCCAGGGTTTGGTTTTTGACCTCGCATCACACTTCCCCCCTTCCTGATGGCCCTCTCTGTTCAAGGCTCTCCCTCCACACATCTATAGCCATGAAATTAAAAATCACTGCCCTTCTGTCGTGCCTGCATTGGGGGTGGTCGAGGGGTCCAGGCTGATTAACATGTCCCCATGCTATAGAGCGTAATGAAAGGCCCAGAGCATGGCCGGCAGAGATGAGACTTGTCTTTCTCTGTCAGTGAATCCCTTCCAGGACCAATTTCTCAATTATAATGCCCCCCCAAAAATCCCCCCACATTCACTCTAGAGTGGATGGGAAGGGGACTGACTGCCACCAGTAAAGTGTGGTCAGGCTTCTGTTATTTATGACAGGCCACTTGCTCAGACATGCTTAGACCTGCACTGCCTCCGTCTTGAAGACCCAGAGGTCTGGCATTTCAGACCAGACTGGTGCTACTCAGGGTCTGGCCCAAGGACCAGCAGCACCAGCACCCCTGGGAGCCCATTGGAAGTGCAAAAGACCAGACTCCAGCTGGGGTCCACGAAGCCTGGGTCGGGGGCAGTGGGACCCGGGTGGCTGTAGCTCCCAGGTGATTCTAATGTGCACTGCAGTCTAATGGCCACGGTGCAGAATCCACCTGCTGGTAGAGGGCAGTGCGGACCAGCGATGGGGCTCTACTCTCGGTCAGCCAGGAGGAGAAAAGAAAAAGAGGTCTCTGGAATGTATGGTGGAGGCTCAGGAGGGGAGAACCCAGGTGGGAATAAAGCCCATGAGTAAATGTATAAGCAGATGCCCACATGCTGGGGGAGGTAGCCTTTGTTTTCACTGGACTAAAGAAAGACGGAGACAGACTTAGCAGAGGGAGATGTAGGAGCCTTCTCCCTGAGGCAGCATTCTGGTTCTCATCCTCAAGAAATTCTATCCATTGTCCCCTTGAGGTGCGTTACTGTGGCCTCCCTGACCCCAGGGAGCTTGTGTGTGGCCCCAGTGGAGCCTCCCCACCCACTGACTGATGCAGGAATCTCTTCCCCTCTGAACAGGAGCTGGCTTAGCCTCCGCTACTTTTTGTGTGCTAGGCTGAGATTCTCCACACTGATGAGTGGGCTGTATAAATTTACTGTGGTTCATTTGGGACACCAAGGTTGCAAACTGATAATTAAGGGGAGATTACACTAACAGCTGTAAGAAGCAGCTTCACTTTAATAGCTGATAAACATGTAATTGTTCTCTCTTATGTAGTCAGAAATATGTGTTCCTTCCTCTTTCTAAAATACGTTTCAGTCAAATTATGGTTTCCATAAGAGGTTCAGCTGAAGGATTAGAGACATCCCCATTATTTTTAGCTTGCCTGCGAGAACCCAGCACTGCTGAACCTAGTCAGAAGCAAGTATTTTTGTCAATAGATAATTAAAATCTTTTCTCACTCTTGGCAACATATCTTTGGGGTTGGGATTTTTTTTCTCTGGCCATATTTATACTTTTGGGAGATATGCTAAACAAAATCCAATTATGTTGATGCAGCAGCCCAGTGTTGACACTGGAGAACAAAAGTAACGGAGCCCACGTGTCCTTTGCAAATTGGGTTTGGCAGTGGAGAGGAATGTGCAGGGGTTCCCTTCATTTGGAGGGACAAAGTGTGTAATTAGAATCTGGGTCCTTTACCCTCTATTAATCTTGTGCAAGGCAAACCCCCAGCAGCTGTCATATTGCTTGCAGGGTGATGTAAATAATTTCAAGTGAACCAAACTGAGTCTCCTATTTAATGCATCCGTGGCCTGGGTAATTAATGGCTGATCTTCCTAGCTGCTTCTCCTGGTGGGGACCTCTCGGCTCAAGAGGGCGCTCTGGCAACTGTGGTTGGGCACGGTTTGGAGACGAGGGGTGGAGGTGCCTTGGGGAAGCAGGTACACTATGTCTGTGACCCTGTGTGTCTTTGGCTTCTTTGCAGAGGCTAAAGTTGGTGTGTTCGCCGCAGCCGGACTGGGGCCCGTTCTTAGCTCAGCACCGTGGGGAGCGGTACAAGAACATGATCGACCCCCTGGGAACCTCGTCCCTGGGACTCAAACTGCCAGTGAAGGATTTGGAACTGGGCACCCAGTGCTAGTCTGAGGGCCTGGGACGGCCCAGACTCGATCCCCTTTCTCCGCCCTGCCTCGCCCTAATGTTTTCCCCAGCTTTCTTCCCGTTTTTCTTCTTTCTCCCCACATCTGGGTTCATATCTGTGCATGAGAGTGGTAACGTAGGACATAGCGTCGCATGCTGTAGTGAAGAGCTAGACAGACCACCTGAAGCGCTGAGCGCTCTTTGCCTGCGTCCACGGTGTCCGTTTCCAGTAGGGTTGGTCCCCCGAGCACGCGCTTTACCCCACGGGAGCGGATCAACTAGGGGAGGGCTTTCCAGGGACGTCACAGTGCGCACGCGCGATTTGGCTCCACAGAAACGTCCCCTGTGTGTTGTCCCGGGCGGTGCCCGCGAGGCACGTACTGATGGGCAGAATCACAGGACCGTTCATTTGGACTCCGCAGTGTCGTGGAGCTGAGCTGAGCAGCGTAGTGCTCGCGTTCAGACACTGAAAGATCAGGGCAGGGTCCACCTGGAGGGTCAGCGGTGGTCAGGAAATGTTTCAGAGTAAGGCTTGGGCACCGCCGAGATGACTCACCCCTGGGAACATTTTGTTCCTTCGGACCAGCTGTCTCCGGTGGGCCCAGGACGCTCAGATACTAGGTCCTGAGCACTGTGGGTCTTGGCGAAGGGTCGGTTCTCTTCCCGCAGTCGTCTCTAAACAAAAATCACCATATTTGTGAGTTCTTTGGGTCATTTCCTCCACCTCCGCATGAGAGGCCATCCTATAATTTGTGCCTAGTTTGTTGTGCATTCCCAATGGAGCTCCATTCCAGCCTCCCATCTGAGCGCTAACCAGGCCTAACCCCGCTCAGCTTCCCAGATCAGACGGCACCGGGTGCATCCTGGGTGGTGTGGCCGCAGACTCCATTCCAGTTTCTACATGATGGTTAGCACCGTGGTTCAATGTCACGACCCCGTATTTCTTCTTTTCTAAATGTCTTTCTATAGCCTGTAGATACCTTGCCTTCCAACCTCTGGGAAAATGAGACTTACCCTGGTTCTGTCTCTGTGTTATATATGTAAGACACACACTCTTAAAAGACAGAGAACTTCTTAATTTTTACTCTTCACTTTTTCATTTATAGTCAGTGCTGCTTGCGGTCATAGAGAAATCAAGCAAATGGAAAGTTTAGTAGAAAATAACCATAATATAAACTGTGCTGATAGTGCATTTTAGGTCACGGTATTTACAGAAATTTCTGATAAATACAGCTTAGGTAAGTAATGAGTGAGCCAATTAAGATGATAGCTTTTAAGTCTACAGTTAGCTAATTCAGTGTTAAGGGTTCCCAATTCCCAGCACTCAGAACTGCACTCCAACGAGAGCAAATGACGAGTCTGCAGAGGTCGGCGAAGCCGTGATCGGTGCTACCTCCTGGTATCCCGAACATGCACAGATGAAATTCTTCACATGTGACCTATGTTCAGGTCACGTGTGCCATGATGGTGTTTTCTGTCCGTATAAATAGCTAATGAATCGCAGCAGAGAGGGCGAGGCTAGAGTCGCGTGGTCTGGGTTTCTGTTTTCTTGTGGGAATACTATCTAAACTTCAAATGGCTGCCTTTAGGGGAGACCCTTTGAATAATTTTCTTTTTCTTTTTTTTCCAATCATTTTCTTATTTGTCTTCATATTACAAGGGTCTCAGGCAAAGTTTCCAGTTCAAATCTTGTATATTGATGTGACATTTTCGCCCCGTTCAGCAGCAATGAAACCCAACAACAGACCTGAATGTCACATTTGTTTAAAAATGACTTCATTTGTTAAAAAAAAAGTCTCCACTCATTTTACTGAGCTTTCCCTTTTCTAGGGCAAATATCATTGCCATTTGCCAACACCAACGTAAACTTGCAGTTTTCAAGAGCGGCCTGTGAACACGTTTAGAAAAGGAAACGGAGATGGGTGTGAACTTCCTGTTTTCATCCCCTCTGCCCGCAGTGCGTGTCGGTTCTTCCCTCTCCTTGGTCGCTTCTTCTGTCTTGCTCCCAAAGCTAGAACGTACTAGAATCCACCACAGGAACTAAACCCTGAGCATCCCCTAGACTTACCTGTAGGAAGCTGAGCTGTGGCCTCACCTGCCCCTGCGTCTCCCACGGTGACCTGTCTGCCATTAACACACATTCCCATGAGAAAGCCATATTGCTGAGAGGCCCGCATCAAGCGGTTAATTTCGTGTAGTGGCACCCAAAGTGAGCCTCTGCCATGCACACCCGGGGCAATGGGAGAGGCGGGGGAGTAAGTCAGGCTTGAAAACGGCCTGCAGCCTTTGCAACTCGAAGGCTGGTGACAAGAGCTGAAATGCATTGGCATTCTTCACGTGACCTCTGTGTTTGTGCCAGGACAAACGGCTTTTGGATTTTCTTTTTCGCTTCCTGGCTAAAGCTTGAGTCTGGTGCTGGATGCCAACCCTGTTTCTGCTAATTATTGCTGCTGTGATTAAAAGAAGGGGGGAAATCCCATGGATGTTGCCAGATTTTTTTTGTACAAACTGAAAGTTAACTTCACGGTGAGAACAGGGATCTCCTCACCAGCTAGTGAGTTTCACAGCTGGGAACAGCTGCACTGGTGTGAATTGCAATTTGCCCAGGTAAGACCCAGCTACTGGTCCTCAAGCAGCTGCATTTTTTTCTTTCCCCTACACTTTTCAAGCTTTATATACATTTTCCTTAAAGGTGAGAGGTTCTGAACCTATCTGGAAACAGTTACCTTGTAAGTTTAGTTTAGCCCATTTCTATAATGATATTTAGCGTGGCTGGGACCTTAGGGGCTGTGAGATGCATGTGACCAGACGGATGTTCCATGCTGTGTGGAATGAATGGATACGAAGAAAATGAACAGCATTGTCATGAACTGCCACTGAGAGTTCCCCTGAAAACTGCGGAAAACCTGAGTTGCTGAGGAAAGACTTTCATTGGTCCACCATGCAGAACGTGGGGTATTTTCCACTTGTGAGATTGTTTCCTAACACCAACAAATGCCAGAAGCCCATCTGAGTTAAAAAAAAAAAGCCATATGTTAAAAACAGTAACCCTGTAATATCCTTAAAGGAGAAAACAATGTATATTTCTTAACTATTGGTGTTGTGGCTTCTTATGCAAATCTTTGTCTTGGTGTATTAGTAACTTAATCTTTAGGGCTCTGTGTTTGTCATGTATCAATGTGTCTAATCTGGTCTCTTTTTCTTTCCCTTTATATTTATTTACTGCATGAAATCTGTGGTCAAGGCAAATCGGTGACCTCAACGTCTTTGAAATTTCCAATGTGTTTTTAATATGTAAGGAATGCCATCAACTTGTGTTTCGGTGAGCAGCACTTTAAAAAGACATTTCACACCATGGCTGTTAAATGGATGTGAGACTTGGGTTGTCTTTATGCTGATGTCACTTTGGGGTGCAGTTTTCCCTGAAGTTCTTATTCTGTGATCTACATGTGCCTGAGTGCTCCCTGACAGCCTTCTCCTGTCAGCATGGTTTTCCCATGCCTAGAATTATGGTTTTTCTTTCCCGTGTATCCCCTTGGCCACCGGTCACCATCCTCTCCTCAGAGACTTGCACAAGAACTGTTGTGTAATGTGTGCGTGATGGCAAGATCACACCGCTGCTGTCACACCTGGGTCTGGGTTTGTGACACACTGCTTTAAGGCAAATGACTCGAGTGAGGGCATGCTGTGTGGCAGGTTGTCTCGCAGGGGGAAAAAAAAGTTCAGGGTCAGTGAATGAGAGTCTTTCTCCTGTTTCATGCCGGGTAATCATGCAGATAACTTCCAGGCCGGGAGCAAAGTGTAAGGTGATTTAATCCTGGTCCTAACTTCTCCCCAAAGTGACCCCAGACTTTGTAAAAGTGAGGCTTCCTGTCTTTCCCAAATTTTGCTTCAGCTGGACAGAAAGACTGAGTCGTTCTGAACTGTGGTCTCTGCTCGGCCAGCCCGGAGCAGCCTGCAGCCAAAGAGAAAGCATGTTCAGATGGGGCGCCGCTCGCCTCAGAAGAGCGAGCAGCGGTTTGATCTGCCTGCCGGATTAAATACATCTTCAGGTAACCACTTGCCTTATAGGTGTATTTTACTGTTAGGATGACACTTAGTAATTGACTAGGAACTACTGTGTCTCATTTTTTGGTCTTTTTTTGCACTTTATTATGGACCTATCGTGGGGTAGGTTTATTCTTGAATTGAGTCCTTGGCGAATGTCCTAAGTGTAGGCATCTCATGTGGCCGGTTGCCTATGGATAAAGATATGTTCCCTAACCAGGTCCTTATATTTTTTCATTAACTGTACATGGAGAAAATATATTATGTTACAATGATGCATCATAGATATATATCTTAGAGAGTACATATTAGATACTGTATATTATTCATTTAAGAGGTCATTATTCTTGAGGCCCTACCTCAAAGTTTGTATTAATGTATACAAATGCAATTTACTGTATTATATATTTGCTTATTATATACTGATATAAATTAGAATTTATCCTGATAATGTATGAGTTCACAAAACCCTAAATAAATGTCCGTGTTTAAAACATGATGATCACAGGCCTGTGTCTATTACAAGCCCTTTACCCATGTTCTTTCTTTCTTAACAAACGGGCGTCGGGTCCCTCTCGGGCTCATTGTTTTTACTGGGAGAAACCTGGGGCGGAAACGGAGAGCGGCCCTCCTGGGTCCATGAGACCCATGCTGCTGGACAGACGGATATTAATTAAATTGTTATGCTCTTAACCATCCGAGTACACTATTGCTTGCTGAATTATTAATTGCCCCTTGCAGGGAAGGACAGGGAGGGAGGGAGGGAGGGAATCTGAGTGAATCCGGGCAGAGGCACTGGGCGAGGCGAATGCCTGGGTGTGTGTTAACGATCCCGTTGTCAGTCTTCGATTCCGCTCCACTTCAGCGGACATGTGCGCAGCTCCGGCACAGAGTTAGACCCCAGGCAGGACTGAGTTCCAAGTAAAGCAGTCCCAGATCTCAAGGGACTCAGAGACAAGGAGCCAGACTACTCATATTAAGCAAACACACATTCCAGTAAGTGCCATCTCTCCCCTTGTGAGTGGGCGGGGCCTCGGGTTTCCCGCTGGAGGGGGGCCCCGAGCTCCGGGGTCCTGTGTGGATAGAGACTGGCAGCTGGGCACTCCCGTCTCCCCGTGTCAGTCCCGAAGCTTGACTCTGCTTTCTTCAAATGAACACAGCACTCTCATGCCCCCTCTTCTATCTCCCGCTTTTGTGTCAGTGGGATGAGCTGGGCTACCTTTGGTGGGAAGAGGAGTGCCCCTCTAGACTGATGGATAAGTAGTCCTTTCCTAATCGGGGATCATGATGTGCCAAGAGCATAGGTGTCCATCCTGTGGAAACAAGACGTCCACACACGCTAAGGCTTGGCCATCACACTGCGCTGCAGCTGGCAGCCTGAGCAGCAAGCACCAAGCTGGGCCTAGGACCTTCCACTGCAAGAGGCTGGCTCGTCATCTTTGGTTTCCCTCCTGAGATCCCTTTGCTCAGTTGTATTTTCTTTTAACTTATTATGTGGAAAATTCTCAAGCATGTATACAAGTGGAGTGTACAGACTAATGAACACCTGCATCCCTATTAGTCAGTGTCAACAATTATTCATGCATGTCTGTGTTTTTTTCCATTCATCCCTCTCCCTATACCGAACAGAGAGTTTGTTTCATTGCTGTCTATCCAAGCAGATCCTAGATATCATGGAGCTGCACTTCAAAATGCTCTGGTGTGTGTGTGCGTGTTTCTGCTCATATCTCTTATCTGTTGATGTTTTTTATTTTTTCAGTTTTTCAGTTACAGTTGACATTCAATGTTATACTAGTTTCAGGTGCACAGCGCAACGATCAGACATCCATATAACACACGCAGTGATCACCCGCTACGTCCAGGGCCCACCTGGCCCCGTGCGTCATCAGCACAAGATCGGCCCCATTCCCTGTGCTGCACTTGACATTCCCTGCTGTGTTTTCATGCCCCTTCTCCACGGTCCTCTCCGAACTGGGGGTGACAACACAACAGGGGGAGCTTCAAGCTCACCCACCGACAGCAGGGCCACCCTACTCCGTGCAGCTAAAGCAGGGTGCAGGGGTTGGCGGGAAGGGGCTGCTGCAGAGTTTGCTCTGACCGCTCCCCTGGCTTCCGCTGTCCAGCCTTTCCTCCCATTTTTCTTTGTTGGGTCCTGATGCCTCCCCTGGACTCGGCAGCTGTTTTCTTTCTGAGCCGACACCTGCTGCCTTCGATTCTTCTCTGCATTTGTTCAGGCTTCCGCCCTCCTTCTTCCCAGACAGTATTCCCCCCTCCCCCTGCCCCAGAACCCGAGATTCGGAATCTCGCAGTTGCACAGAAATCCGAGGTCATTCATTCCAGCATCTCTGATACAGAAATTCTCCTACAACATCCTGTGTGGTGGGAACTGCACTTACAAAGGCATGTGTGTGTGTGGGATGAGTAATTGCTGTCTAAAAAAGTCACCCTGGGGGACCCTGGTGACAGGAAGCTCCCCCAGTGTCTTTAAAGCAGCTCCGCTTTACAAAAATCATCTTCACTTTCCTCATTGACAACCTCTACTCCACAAAACAGAGACTGCGTGTGGTTTGAGCCGCTCCTTTCTTGCCTTTTTGTGCAGTCTGTAAGTTTATGAGAATTTTGATGCTGCAAGTGATTTAACCCAGTTCTCTCCCATCTTCCAGGAAACCCCTTCGGACCCACACAGGGGTGAGAGGAAACAGAGACGGGAATGCAGTGCAGATGCACACGAGACAGAGTCACGTGTCGTCCTGCATCGATCCGCTCACTCCCGTATTCATTCTTATGCCATTCTCAGCGCCTCAATCATTCCCCTGTTTCTTAGTACCTAACAGTTTGTGACACATAGTAGATACTCAGTAAATGCATTTTTTAAATCGAATGAGCCAACAGTGAGTACCGGCCCTGTACGACGACCAGAACGCGTGTTGCAACGTGGAAGAAAAGTATGAGTGAGCCGCAGCCTCTCCCTCCAGGTTCCTCGGGGTGAGTGGGGTTCTCAGACAGGCATGCACAGCACCCTTGTGCACAGTGGGGAGTCCACCGAGGGCCCAGGAGAACTAAGACAGGAATGTGCTTGTCCTAAGTGTGGGGCACCGAGGGGTGCAGAGGAAGACACCGCATCTGACTGAGAGGATTAGACAGGACTCCTTGAAACACGGACGTGGGGAGGATTTTGATTGCAGGACAAGCTTTCCAGGAGGATGAAAGCAAGCAAGTGTTGGCATGGGCATAAGACAGACCTTTCCAGGAAGAGTGATGGACACAACTGGAAAGTGGAGTCCACGTTTGGGGGACGTGAGAACGCAGGCTGAAACTGTAGTTTAGAACTTGACAGTCAAAGGCCTTCAGTGTCAACAGAAGCAGTTTAGACGCTGCCCGACAGGCCACAGGGAACCAAGGCAGGTCACTGAATAGTGGAGAGAGATCTCCTGGGGGAGGCAGCCAGCATACCAGAGACAAAGCTATGTCCTGGGTTGGGACCCAGCTCTTTTTCTTGTTAACACAGCCTCCGTTTTCTCATTTATAAAGATAGAACAGTTACACCCACTTCACAGAGTTAGTATGAGGATCAAACAGAAATTTGCATGTGAAAATGTAACCGTGCTGCAAATGTTGGGTTTTTATCACCAGATCTGCGCATTTGGGATACTCACCTGGTCAGAGCGTCCAGGACGGAATGGTGGGGAGAGACCTGAGGTGAGGACACTGGTTTGATTGAGCAAGACACCAGCCTTGTCAAAATGTTAGACATGAACTCCAGGGCCCCGGGGCATAAATCTAGAAATACAGGGCTCCTTCAGCAGGTAATCTGTGCTCTGACTTAGGGGACTGGGGCCACCAGGGGTTGTATTTAGAATTCAAGCAATCGGCCTAGGGGCAACACCAGCTGATGTGAAAGGGCCCCGTGGTGAGGTGGGAGCGCGGTCCTGTTGGGGGCTGTCATATTGGTTTCTGCATCACGGCGGAGCCTCAGTGTCCAGAGGGGATGCTGGGGCAGGTGGGCTCTGTAGCCTCAGCCTGGACGCTTTCATCCCATCACTTGGTTCCTCCTCCCTTATCCTCTCAGAAAGCGGAGGCCGAGGGATTCCGTGGTCCCCTCTGAGGGATACCCAATCTGCACAATTGGCTTCCCAGCTGCCTGGCCTCTGCATCCCCTGCTGGTGTTGGGGAGACATGCACAGGGAGAGCTCTGGGCCCTACCTTTAAAGTGGTGTGAATTTGCTCTTTCTTGGCTGAGAGCTTTGAGAGAGACCTCATTAAAAGGAAATCATTCTGTCCCTCCTGCTCAAAAGCGGAGAGCGCTGCTCAGCGCAGGCCCCTGCCATGCACTCTCGATGTGTATCCTCCCTCCTTTCTTGCCTTCCAGCGAATGCTCCATGGTTCTGCACCCCCTGTGTCTTGCAGTGAGGAGAATTACACAGACCTGCCCAAGGCCAGTATTGGCGTTTTGCAAAGACAGTGTGTTGCAGACTGAATTTCTCTGAATTTCTGTTCCTCCCTTTATTAGTGACATCTCTGACTTTAGTGAGGCTTGTCACCTAGCCCAAACAAGACACTTCCCTGTTCTTTGCCGCCAGGCATGCTAGGTGGACTCCACTTCTTCACCCCGAATCTCACGTGGGCTCAGTTCTCACTGTGGGCGGGCCGAACTTCTGGCCCCTGGACTTGACTGACAGCGTGATGGTTTTGAGTTCAGATCTCAGGAGACCTGGCCTGTCTCCACGTGCTCATCTGTGCCTCTTTGTGCTGTGAGAAGCACTTGTTCTGGCTAGCTCCCTGGTCTGGGAAAGATGAAACACAAGTGTAACAGAGACACTCAATTGACACATAGACCTGCTGCAAGCAGTGGAATCAGCTCAGCCACTCAGCCTGACGCAGAAGTGCCCAGCCGAGGACAGCCTGGGTGAGCTGAGTCCTAGCCAACCTGCAGCTAGGTGAGAATAAATGCTTAGGTATAGGCCACTGAAATTTTGTGGTGTATTTTTAATGCATCAGTAACTAACAGATATGTAGGGAGTGGCCATGTGACTAGGTTCTGCTCAAAATGGACACGGTCCATGGGACTCCTAGGCATGTTTTCCTCCTTCTCTTCATTCTCTTCCATGCTTGCTGTCTGGAATGTGGATATAATGGCTGGAGTACCAGCAGCCATATCGAACCATGAGGACAAGAACTATATTCTAGGGAGCAGAGATCTGGAAGGAGCCTGGCTGCCTGAAGACTTCATAGAGTCACCAAATTAAGCCTGGACTACCCAAGTCTAGAATTCTTTTTACCTGAGGCAGCATTAAACATGTCTTATTTAACATGTTGTCTAGGGGTTTTCCTGTTGTATGAAGCCAGATAG